AAACTAAGCTTAGGTTTCTGTTTTGCACTCACAACTTCTGGCAAGTCACATGTCCTCTCCATTCCTTCATTTCCTGGTCTTTGAATATATATAATAGTACTTACCTTGCTCCGTTGCTGGACTGGATTAGGAATGCTATGTAAAGCGCCTGGTCCATAAAAGACAATAAATAGGAGAGCCTTACCCTTTACTACTGAGGACACAGTAATAAATAGTGATGACCAAAAAACTATATAGGCTATTGTTCCAAAAGCTCGTTAAAGCTGGGGCTATTTTTCTGCCAACAAACCTTGGTATGCTTTGCTATCTTTGAGTAACAACTGACCATGAGAGGGCCCTTCAACCTCCTGGCCTCCATTTCCTCATCTGGAAAGTAAAGGAGCCTTGACTGGTTCTGAACATTCATGGTTCCCTAATCCTCATTACATAGATATATAGATAGATATAGATATAGATATAGATATAGATATAGATATAGATATAGATATAGATATAGATATAGATATAGATATAGATATAGATATATTCTTTTAATATTACAGAGCAGAGCTATAAAATTTTTCTTACTCCTAGCAATTGTCATCTACATAGCAAAAACCAAAAGAAAGGAAGAATGCAAAGGGTACCATGTTATCAAGTTCAATGCCCATGTTACCATGCGCTGAAGTCTAAAGATCAGGAGTGTGTGTGTGTGTGTGTGTGTTTCAGGTTTACTCTCCAATTCTTTGTGGTTCTTTGTTTTTATGACCTAATATTTAATTGTAAACCATCCCCACCCCACTCCATATCTTTTCTGATCTCAGCATTTTTAAATTTTGGTATACTTTTCATGAAGTTAAACACACTGATCTTTCATGTGCAGTTTGATGGGTTGACACTTGCATGTATTAACCCCTATATTCATATAATAGAGATCATTGCCACCACTCCACTCCAGAAAGACTTGTCATGCTCCTTCCCAGTCAACACCTTCTCCCTCAAGACACTCACTGTTCTGATTTCCTTCATCACAGATAAGTGCTGCCTGTTGTAGCCCTTTGAATAAATGCAAACATACAAAATGTGTGATTTTGTGTCTGGCTTCTTTCACTCAGCATAATGTTGTTGAATACATCAGTAACTGGTGTTTCTTAATATCTAGTAGTATTTCATTTTGTGAATATACCCAGTTTGTTTACATTCTGCTATTGGTGGTGATTTGGGTTGTATCCAGTCTGGGACTATTGAGAATAAAATGGTTATGAACATTTTTGTACATGTTCTTCTATGACATGTGTTTTCTTTTCGCTTCGGTGAATACTCAGAAGTAGATCTTCTGGGTCATGGAGTAGATGTAGGTTTAACTTTGCAGGAAACTGGCAAATCTGTAACAAGTGTTACAGTGATCCTACTATTTGACATACCTACAAGCAACTTTTTGCTCCATAATTCTCAACATTTGCTAGTTTTAGTAGTCATTTTGAGTCCCAAATGTCTCCATTTTAAATCTTACAGCTAAGTTAATTTTAAGTAAGCAAGCAAATGAACAAAAAATCATTCTCCTACCAAAGATAAGCATTGAAGGTGAATCAAGTTTGGCATGAATGAATAAAAAAGATGAGATTGTAGCAAATTTAATAGCAATTTAAATAACTTAATGTCAAAAAGGTTACCAGTTGTCATTCTAATGCTACCTGTATTTATTATGTACGGATGCAGATTCGTGTCCCCATGAATTCATTTATGCTCCTCCCTCTGCTCCTCTGAAAGGCCCTACTTCTTATCAGGGTGATTCATCCTTAACCTTTAAAGAAAGCCCCCCAGAAGCAGCCTTCCTTAACACCCTGTCAGTCCACAGGGTTGTAATATACCCAAAGATTACTTTGATTACAGAGCTTATAACATTATAACTGTGTGCCTGTCTCCCACACCTGAAAATGAGTTCCTTGAAAAAGAAGGATTTGTTTTCTATTTATCTTGGTATCAAGTAAGCATGATAGATACTCAATCAGTGAGGTTTCTTGAGTCAGTGAATATATTCTTAACAGTATTGAATCACACCCTAGGAAGGGCTATTCGTGGGAGTTTTCATTGGAAGAGATGGAGAGGGAGTAATGGCTGAAAGATTCTGAAGCCAGATTTCAGATAATTTTGTCTTTCAAGAGGGGAATACGTAGGGAGATGACAGTCTTTACCAATAGATAACAGTGGCCTCAAGAATAAACCATGGGGTGATCTGAATCACTCAGAGATTAACACAATTTTGAAAACAGAATGGCTATTAAAGACATCTAGTTCAAATCCTTCAAGTTCTAATAGAGAAACTCAATACCAAATAGTGATCTTCAGCATTGTTGGAAATAAAAGATTTGCCTTCAGCTGCTCCTCCTTTCTTCTTCTTCAGCTTCATTTTATGTCTTCCCAGAGTCTTCTCTATCCTACCTCACCCCGCCACCTCTGTAGCCCCTGCTTTAGGCCATGACGTTCATCCCTCCCCTTCCCCTCTCTCTTTCAAAATGTACCTGCTCTGGGCTCCGATAGTGTCTAAGAGGGATAATTCAGTAAAATACTTTAAGCTGAGATGGTAATCATTCATTCAGTCTAATATATCTATCTGTCAATATTTTTGTTCTTTGCATACTGGCTCAGCCCTACCACAAACGAGCTCTGCTGAGACACTCACCATCCAAAATGCAAAAGCATCATCCAAGGCACTAGAAAATGACATGAGTTTTTGGGCACAAAAATTCAAAGGGAACCTCCTACTTGCTTGTCAGCCTCTAGCTAGCTGGCTGATGGTGGGTCATTCTAAAGCAAAACTAGGAAAGAGAAACCAACACCAGCAAGCAGATCCTACAAGCCACCAAGTCACTGCAAAATGGCAAGGCTCTGGGACATGAGTATCTGTGTGCCTGCCCCCAGCACCCTCCTGAGGGCACCAGGAAAGGAGGAGATCTGAAAAGCTACCACAGCCTAGATTGGCCCCAATGCTACTTTGTTAATAGACCGTGTCTCACTTGTCTGGAGAGAAAAGCCCAACTGGGAAAGTCCAACAGAATCAGCTGAGGCTAGGAATCTTGGAGAAGGTAGATCTGAGTGAGGCAGAGGCTGTCTAAGCATCTAAAGAGTCCTTAGTTCACCCTTGGGCGGAGGGGGGCAACACTAAGGCTCAATTACAAATCACACACACAGACAACCAAGGACAGAAGTGCCAGCAGCCACCGTGGGTTTTCCTTGCAGACAGAGACGTGACAGCTCCATCTATATTTCAAGTCCCTGGGCATGTGGGAACATCTGCTTTGGGAGCACTCTTTAGGGTCAAACAGATGTGGCACCAAGGTGAAAAGAGCACCCCACAGAATGCTGACTATGAACTTGAGCAGGGCACAGAAACAGAAGGCAGGCCAGCAGACCTGAAAGAGCCTCTTGATTTCCTTCTGACACATCAAACCAGCCCAGAGGCATCTGTTGAAAGGAATGAGGCTCCCAGTGGAAAATGCAGACTTCTGGTTCTGCCTTCGAGTGAGGCAAAACACCTATGTCTTGTACTTCTTGAAACCCAACATTCAAGCTCTTTTCAGGAACTTTGGCCCATCAGCCCTCAGTCTGCAATCATGGGAAGTATCCTCTTTTCCCTCTGTCTTGCCTACAGTAGGGTTTCCGTTTTCTGGGGCATAGGTGATCTCAGTATAAAAGGGTTTCAGTGAGGATTTCAGGGGATCAAGCTCTTCTGATCGTAGGTAGGGACAGGCAAAGGACAGAGACTGGGGACCCAAGCCAGGTGGGCAACAGGGAGTAGTTGGAGGATTATTGAGTAGCCAGTGGAATCCCAAGCTTAAGCTTGACCTCAGGGCACAAAACAAGGCAGTGACCCACACAGAGTCTGACCGTGCAGAGGACGGTCCATTGAGGGTAGGAAGAACTATCAGGACCTTTATTTATATTCTATATATTTGTATTCTATGACATTATATTGTATCACTTTTCACTTCTTCCTTTAGCATTTAGCGTGTTTTATAACTTACCTAACACATTCATTTAGCAGTGTATGAATATGCTTTATAAAAATAAATGTTTCTGAACTGAGGCACGTGCACAAAAATGAGGAGTGATAGGGCATATGGTCGCTCGCAGCAGATGCTGAGCACAGCTGTTAGAAGAGTCTAGTTTCCTCCTCTACAGCTTCTCTGCGTTGATGTTCTACACATGCACAGAATGACCAGTTGCCCCTAAGAGGCTCCCAAGCAGATACCAGTCCCAAGGCCCTGAGCTGGGACAGGACTTTGTTAAGCAGAATGAACTAATGCTGTCCTGAGCATGCCTTCACTCTTTTTGAGGACATTATACACAGAGATTCTCATGTACCCTAAAAAACCTGTCATACAAAGTACCACCGAACAGGAAATAAAGATTACAGAAGATAAGACAAAATTGTGAGACAGTATAAACACCCACAGAAGAAATTACTTAACCGTAATAAAAACAGAAGTCATCTGGGAGCAATTCAACCACGGGTTAAATGAGTGAAATGAGTGAGATCAGAAACGGGTGAAAAGCTAGATGTTTCTTTTATAATATGTGGGGCTACAGTCACTGGGACCTCTTTTAAGAAAACTTTAGTTTCAGGGCATCTGGGTGGCTCAGTTGGTTAAGCATCCGACTTCGGCTCAGGTCATGATCTCACATTTCATGAGTTGGAACCCCATATTGGGCTCTGTGCTGACAGCTCAGAGCCTGGAACTGCTTCAGATTCTCTGTCTCCCTCTCTCTCTGCCCCTCTCTTGCTCACACTCTATCTCTCTCAAAAATAAAAGTAAACATTAAAAATATTAAAAAAGAAATAAAACTTTTTTCCAGTGGGTTCAGGTCTACACAAAACTATGAGATTTCTATGAGGCAATATCTATCTTTTTGTGAACATTTAACTCCAGTGGCTAAAAGTTGGAACAATTTCTATTTGCATAAAGCAATGTATTATGATCTGTAAGTCCATTAAATAGTAACTCAAGACCTCCTCTTACCTTTGCAGGAAACACTCTGAAGGTACTCTGTAATTTGAGAGGGAGTAAATGAGTTTAAAATCATTAAGTAATCCAGGGAGGTTTTCCCATAATCGCTTTGGTACACAGTCTGGTTCTTTATAAGCTCTTGACTCCTCAGGGGGCTGTACAGCACGGAAGGGACTAAGGGGACACACAGGAGGAAAAGACATGGAGGCCATCACTGAGCAAAGAATTCCTGTCCTTCTTTGTCTAGTAAGCTCCCAACAGCCCTGCACCCAACTTGGAGCTTACTCAGCACCCTTAAAGTCCTGGAAAGCGAGGTGCTGTATATGAGTGGCTCCTTCCAGGACTCGGGCTGAGCAGGGCTGCTTGGACTCAGGACTGTTGCTATTGGCAGTGGGGGTGATTGGGGCTGGTGGTCAAGTTTGACCACAATTTTCAGAAAAATTCTCCCTGAAATCGACTCTTCCTGTCACTCAGCGTGTTGGGATGGTAGCGTTCACTGCCTCCTTAGTAAACCTATGCCTTCACAGAAGCTTCTTTCCCTTTTGTACCATCTCCTGTGCAGACGTGGGCTGACATACTAAGAGGAGTCCCTCAGAGACCCAGGTATGTTCAGGTGAGCAGTGATGACATCTCCAGCTGGCACTTATTACATATTTTAAACTAATAAAGGCATCAGGTGCAAGCCAAGCCAAAATCACTTACATGTGATTCTGAATATTGCTCATTTAATGTGGGTTCTGAAAGTCATGGAATTATCATGAAAAAAAAAGCATGATGTGAGAATCGAATTTCTACAGCATGCCCAATCTTTGAACCTTAAGGACACCTTAAATACTGCTTTCAGTTCCCTGTAAAGGGACCACCGGCCAGAGGGAGGAAGCAGGCTGGTGAGGGCACTTTTATGCTACATCATAAGAAAAGCATTTGTAGGATCTGGAAATGCTTTAAGTAGAGAGTGTGGAGGGTATAAAAGATGGTTTTCATAGAATAATTTATACTAGTTAACCTCTGTGGGAAGAAGTAGAACCAAAGCCAAAGTTTAGCAAGGGAGTTTCCAGCTATTGAGAACTTCCCAATAGTTGGACTACCTAAGAATGAAAGAGTTGTGTGGGGGGTGGGGTATCCTCCAAAGAGTTACAACATCACCCCTTGGCAAGGATGGGATACAGGGGATTTCCACATGGTGTGAGGATCTAGACAAGGTAACTTTTATGCTGTCTTCTAACCCGGAGATACTAAGCTTCTATCCTGTGATTTTTGTCTATAGTGCTACCCGATATCAACTCCACCCGAGGAATATATCACTATCTCAGACTGACACCAAATTATTCTCTTCACCAGTGGCTTGGTCATGGAACTTTTAAAGCTTTTTTGTTGAAAACAATAGGAATCAGGATCATAAAAGAACACTTGAATGGAATGGTTGCCAAATCTGAAGATACTTGATGGACTTACCATATGGTTAGGCTTCCAGTGGATAATTGACAAATCTAATTTGAGTCCCATCCAGTCTCTTTTTTAGTCATTTTATAGTAACTACATTCTTCCTTTTGTTTTATAAGGAGGAAGCGTCCCCCAATCTCAACCACTGCCCCCAGGCAGAGGATGCACTCATTTCATAGCATAAGGACTCAGTTATTTTCTGGGGCTTACTCACTCCCTGGGTTTGAAGCTAGGCATAGTTTTGACTCCATGTAGGGATGCAGGGGTCATTGGCATTCTTTATGACAGTTACCAAGATTACCTGCCAATGTGCTGAAGAATCTTGGAACAAGGACAGAGTCTATAAAGTTGCTTTAAAAGCTATGGTGTACTTACCTTGACCCTGAGAAGCAACTGGTAGGCTTGAGTAGCACCCACATTTGAAATTAAAGTCCTGCAATTCAGGAATTTTAGCTGGAACTTGGTAATTCTGTCGAAATTCAGTGTCTGCAGGTCGAGGAAGTAACTTTTTCCAGTCCTGAGACGTCTGAGAACTTTCCTTAATCTCTGGAACTGGGGTGGAGGTACAAATGCAAGGCAATAACTGCTTGAAAACTATTCAAAATAGCATTGTATTTTCATTCCATTTTTGCTTCCGGCAGTAGCTTCCAATTTATCACACTAAACCCACTCTTCTTTTATTTAGAAGTACAATCAATGTAGTTTTTATAGATATTTCAACCAAGAAATAATTTTCTGCTTATCAGGCATGGGAAGTATATGCTCCAATGATTAGAAGTAGCTTTTAATGAATATATTGTATGTCAGTTAGGAGTGCTCTTCTGTTCTGCTCAATGGACACAGAAGACATCCTCATTCCAGTAGGCCTGCCTCGTCCCTGGGGCAGGGTGGGTTGCGGAGAGAGAGATCTCAGGTAAGGCTACTGCTGACATGTAAAACATAGGATTCCAGTTAACTTTGAATTTCGGATAAATGACGAATAATTTTTATAAAATACTCATTTATCTAGTATACATTGTTATTCTAATTTAACAGGGCATCCTGTATTTTTTATTTGTTAAATCTGACAACCCTAGACAGGGCAGTGCATTGTCAGCCTCATTATCTTGAAAAGAACCACTTGAAGCTCATCCCTTACTGATGGAAAGTTAGGTAGCATTGTCACTGGTGGACAATAGCACTATTAATTCGTTGCAATAACTCTGCTAATGAATGTTCATTAAACACCAATGATATGATTATAAATAATCATTAAATATCTAAGAAGCACTGATGAAATGCCAGCTTCTACAAGCACTACCAAATTACAGAGGAGGCACAAACTATCTCACTTAGAGGGTGTTCGTCCCTAATTGTTGCTACCAAGTGTTGGTTCAGAGGCACACGATACAATACCAATTGTATTCAGGACAAGAATGTTAACACGGATATCATGAAGAATATCCAAACTTGGCATCCAAAGTGCCAAGTACTATTGAAACTAAACTCGAATCTTGTTCTGAATTCATTTTTCAGTAGGTCTTTTCAAAATAAATTCAAACGTACATCAAACAATGTGTGATGTCACCTACTGGCACCAAGAGCGTTTTAATGATTTTTTAAGAAATGATTTCTGTCTAGACCAGCACAGTGAGAGAAAGTGTCACTACATGCTGCCTCTTCATTTAGATGACTCAGGAAAAGAGCACATGGATACTCAATGGCCCTCATTATGATATCATAATACTGTCCAAGGAGAAGACAAGGTTGTAGAGAAGAGGCAACTCTAGGGCTTAAAAATCAGGATATCCCTTAAGATATTTTGGAAAATATAGGTATGGTTCCTAGTAAACACCATCTATAACTTGGTTTTTGTATATTACTAATAGCTTTGTATGAGAAAAACAAATTCTTGTTGAAGTACTTGAAGTGCTCTGTGCCAAACTTAAAAACAATCATTGTTCTACCTTCAGAAAACCTCCACCTAGTGTGATTAGAAGATATACGCACGACAAACAGATATGGGATGTGATATCTTGTAACCATAATCCTTGGAACTGTGGTTCTCACAGGCAGATAATACATCAGACTTACCTGGGAAGGTTTTTCCAAAGCATATTTGCAGAACCTCATCCCAGACTTTGAGAATCTCTAGGAGTGGGGCCCCAGGCACTTATATTGTGAACAAGCTTCCCCTATACTTAAGAATCACTAACTCAGAGCCTTCAACAGGGGCTATAGAAGCCCAGACGGAGTGAGTATAATGAACTCTGTTAGCGGAAGGGAAGAAAGACAAGAGTTAAATGGCAGATAGAGCAAAGGATGTGCTTTGATGATGGGTCAACACTTCAGCAAAAGTTGTGCACTATGTTCGTGAAGTATGATCTGGCCTGCAGGAGTGTGAGGTATGCAGGGCAGAGTAGTAGCTGAGGGTGAAGCAGGAAGGGTAAGTTAGAAACTGGGTTGTGAAGGGTCTTGAGGGTCTGGTCCATGTAGACCAGGAGCAACCAGCATACTGGAACAACTGGGCACAAAAACCCAGAAAAGACAAAAATTAGAGCCTAGATTTACACTGAGTTCCTTTGAAGATAAAGATTAAGTCTTACTCTTCATTGATCCTTAGCAGTTATCACAGTAATCGACCTCCTTAAATGTTAATGACTGAACAAAAGAAAAAAATCAGAAACAATTAATTTGAACCACACCTTAGTGACTATGTGTTAGATGCTTACAGTAGCCTTTAGTTCTTCTTAACTACTGCTTTTATTGTCTTCACAAAATTTCACGTTAATAAGTTCCTTCAGTACTTATTAAGAAGAGAAGTTCTTGATACAAAGGGACCCAACTGATACCTGAAGTCCCCATAGTGGAACTGAAGTTTGCCATGACTCAGAGCTAACCTGACCCAATGCTAACCACACTTCCAAGGCCTGGACTCCTCTCCGGGAGCCCTCTCTGCTTCTCAGGAGCTCAGCTCCTAAGTGTTTCTTTTTCTCTTGAGAACAGTGATACCGCACTAGCCTAGCTAAAGCCCAAAGAGAGAAACTGGCCCATTTACGATTAGCATGGTGCTTGCAGAAAGGCCCAAGTCAAAAGTACATCTACAGCAAGGACTATTCAAAACCACTGGGACCATGCACATAATCTATAGCCCAGCAAGAACTAGTTCTACTGTCTCTGTCTGCTGTTCTAGTTCATCAAAGCCAAGTTCTCCAAGCCTCAATGGGAAAACAAGCACTGTTACTGCTTCTCAATCATTTGCCTTAATACAATGAAGATACGAAGATAATATATGGTCCCTGTGCTTTAGAAGCTTAAAGTATTAGAGAAACAGACACAAAAATGGAGAATTACATATTAGGTGATAAATGATGTGAAAGAGATAAAAATAAGATCTATAAAAACATATGCAAGAGTCACCAATCCAAACGTGGGGGATCAGAGAAGACTCCCGGGAGAGAAATGAAGCCTGTATTTAGACTTAAGTTATGAATAGACATAGGCTAAAAGAAGGGAGGGGCAGGTGGCCCACGGAAAGAAATGGTGTGCACGGGGCACAAGGCTGCCAGAGGCATGGTGGTGGGTCTGGAGGAAGGAAGGCAGTCAGTCTCATGGAGAGTGTGGGGCTGCTGAGGGAGATTGCTGGTGCGGCAGGCAGGCAGGGACCAAATTGTATAGACTCACATTAAGGCATTTAGCTTTTATCCTGAGGACAATGGGGAGTTACCAAAGGGTTTTCAGCTGGAAGGTGACATCAATTTGCACATCCGGAAACTATGGTTTATAGTACGGGTGGTGGATTGGAAGCAGCAAAACTGGAAAAGAGAGCTGGATTAGAGGTCATCCAAGGGGGAGACACGGGGAGCTTTGGGGAGGGAGAGGAGCAGATGGAGCTAAGAGATTTAGGAGAGACTCTTGGAAGGTCCTGGGTATTTATCTACACACAGGGAAATGGTAATTTGTACATGCTGAAAGGGCTCTGATTAGAAGCTTGAAGATATCTTTTAAGAACGCTGACATTTCAAATCTTTTCCCGTCACCCTTAATATTTACCTTAAGTATGGAGGCCTTTTGATTCTATACTCATCTAACTTCAAAAATGTACTTCCCATATATTTTTTCCATCATTCCGCAAATATCTACAGAGCACCTCCTATACACCCAGAGTAGACCATATAGACTGTGCTAGATTCCGAGTGAATTAGACAGGCCTTTGGGGCACCTGCTGAATAGTGGAAGAAATAATAAAATAAAAACAACAAAAAGCAAGAATCAGTAAACAAATGACTGCAAAATGCCAGGTGCTAGAAAGTAACAAATGAGGCGGTGGCACACTTCTTTGGATACAACAGTAAGGAAAGGTCTCACAGGCAAGGTGACACTCTGGAGTCTACAGAATGACAGTAAAATCACAGAAAGAGCTTGGAGAAGAACAATGCAGGCATAAAGGATAGCCTGCACACTGGTCAAAGGTGGGGTTGGGGGGGGAATGGTATCTTATAGGAATTTTAAAAACGCCCATGTGGCAGGAGCCTGATGAATGAGGGGATGGAGGGAGAAGGAACACTAAGGAGGTAAGCAAGGGCCAGGCCAGCCTTGCTTGACCTTATGAACAAAGAGAAGGAACTAAAACTTGGATTTCATTCAAAGTGCAATGCAGAAAGCCTGGGTGGCTCAGTCGGTTAAGCATCTGATTTCGGCTCAGGTCATGATCTCACAGTTCATGAGTTCAAGTCCCACATCAGGTGAGCTCATGCCCCACTTCTGGTGAGCTCCAGGCCCACTTCGGGTGAACACGAGCCCCATTTTTATGAGCATGAGCCCCACTTCAGGTGAACCCCACTTCTCTCTTTCTCTTCCCTCACCCACCCCTGCCCCTCACTCACTGGTACCCTCTTCTCTCTCTCTCTCAAAAACAAAATCAAAACAAAGTGCAATGCAAAGCCAGTGAAACAAAGCAGTAGAATAACATGATCCAACTTAGATTCATAAAAGATCATCATATATCATATTTGACTCCTCCCTCCCCAAACTTCACCAAAATGATAGTAAATTAGAGGTTAACACATTTTTAGAAGATGGAAACCAAATACAGATGTGCCAACTGAATTAGTAAAGTAGAGGAAGCTAAAACTAAGTGACCCCTGAAAGGGAAAACAAAACAGTGAGCTAATCCACACTATAGACCCCCAAGAGGCTTCTGTGACAGGAACAGGGTAAGGCCAGTATGAAGCTCAGGATAAAAACAAGAGGCTTGAGTGAAAGCTTGTATACAGAGTGGTTAGAGTTCCTGCACCATCTTCTTAACTGCATGCAGTCATTTGACTATCCTTTCCTCAGATATTTATTAGGTGCAAAACTGAAAGGAGGAAACCCTGGAGATTCCAGAACACCAGGCACAGTGCAAGGTGAGGTAGTGAGATGAACGGGAAAAAGAAGGGTTCAGTGAACGTCTGCACAGCAAGCAGGAAGATCCCAGTTTCCTCCCCAGTCCTGTTCTCAGAAGGCCAACATCCAAGGGTTCCTCTCTCGAGAAACTGGCCTATAAATACAGGGTGGGTTCCCAACAGAAAGAGCTTGTCACCTAACCACCTAAATCAAGCACCAGCTAACAAGCTCCATCTCTGTATGTAGTCTCCAATCAGATTTGAGTATCTCCCCTGTAGGTCTTGTGAACCTTAGAGATTAATATTTTGCATATTCACTTAAAAAAAAAAGTCCAAGGAATTAAAACAAGTTTTATTAGCATCATAGTAAATTTGCCTCTGCCCTCTTGTAAATATGAACAGAAAACCAAATTTTCATTAGACCATTAAAACACTCAGAAAATAGAGACAATGCAAAGAATAGATGAAAACGTTGAAAATTAAGTGTATCATAAGCATCCTAAAATTTATAAGAGAATTACTACATATATAAAACAAGAACAATGCTGTTTTTTAAAAAATAATCATAATAATAATCAGACCATAATAGACCATAATAATCAGAGGTCTATATATTGTAGTAAATAAAACTTATTAATTTTACTATTCAAACAAAAAGTCAGGGAAAGGAAGAAAGCTTGTAAATTAAAAACCAATAGAAGAGCTAGATTAAAAAATAGATCAATTTTCAAGTTAGCAGAGCAAAAATACAAAGAGAAAGATACTAGGAGAGAAAAGATAAGAAAGTTGGAGGATCAGTCCAACAAATAGGAATCCCAGAAGAGAAGAGAGGAAAGATATGGGAGAAATGTAGACATGCAGGAAACAATGTCCAGAATTGAAGGACATGACTCTGGCTTCTAGAGCCCCTGGTTGTCCAGTATAGTCAATGACAAAAGATTCTCACTAATGCATACAGTTGTGAAATTCAGAATGTCAAAAATAAGGAAAAAAAATAAGAGTTTCTAGGGAAAAAAAAATAAACATAAGAGGGTCAGGAATCAAAATGGCACCAGTCTTCTACAAAGAAATTCTGGATGCTAGAAGATATTTGAAGGAATGCATTCTGAGAGAAAGTGATTATCATCCCAGAATTTTATATCCAGCCAAACTATCACACAAGTTTAAGAAGAAAGGACAGAAGAAAGGACATTTGCAAATAGAGCAGAACACACTCAAAAAACTTCCTCCCATGCATTCTTTCTTAGGAACCTACTGAAAGATGTGCTTCAGCAAAACTAGAGAAAAGGGATAAGAAAGAGGAAGAGGAAACAAGACTCAATGCAGGCAGAAGCCAAAGCCATTCCTAGAATGATGAGAAAGGAAGTCCCAGTGCACAGTGGGGCATCAAAACTACAGAACAACCCAGTCTGGATTAGAGAGAAATAATAAAGGGTGTCAAGCAGAAGATCTTTGGGAAAAATACTAGAAGGGGTAGAATATTTGAAACTGTGTTTGGAAAAAACATCTTGATAAGTGTGTGACAAAGAATTTGGCAAAAATCAGTGATAGGCCCATAGAAAACTAAGCATATGAAAAAAAAGTCAATTATTAACTCTGGGGAAAAAAAAGGAAAAAGAAACTATTCTAAAATACCACCTTGCTCAGCAATGAATGTTTACATAACCATAATATATCATATCAGGATCACAATATAAACATTAGCAATTGAATCAAACAAGTATTTGTAATAAAATTATAGAGAGAATGGATGGAAGAGGCATGAGAAAGAGCTACCGGACAGCCAAATCCTCAACCACCATAACAGGAAATTAATAACAATGTCTAAAATTGAACCAAAAAAAGCAGTGTATACATATTATTTTAAAATATGGAGTATTACATAAAAACCACTGGAGGGATTGAATTGATTACCAATTGGGAGTGGAGTCAAAGAGCTACTATTATTTTGTAATAAGCCATTAGGTTACTATTTGATTTAGGTGTATGCATGCATTAGTTTCATAAAAATTTCAATTTTTCAAAAACACAATAATTGGAAATGGCATGTTCAACGTGACTTCTTCATCTTTGCTGGGCTCTTTTATCCTCGTTTTTCAGGTCCAGGAAGCCTTTCCTGGGGCCCCCTCCCCAACTTTAGGCTAAATGTCCCACTGTGTGCACCCATGGCACCCTGCCTTTCCCATATGCTACACCATTTCATATGTGACTTTTTGTTTGCTAAATTGCCTTTTTCTGTGTCTATACTGTGAATTCCTTGAGGAAAGAAACTGCATCTGTGCTGTTCACCACTGCCAACTCCGGGGCACAACATATGACCAGGGAAAGGAGAAAAATGAACAAGTTTACCTTTTGATCTGTCCACAAAGTCTCTTCTAGTAGTGGAAATAAACTGATTTGATACTGCCTTCCTAAAGGCTTCCTCTGAAGCAGCGATTTTCCAACGGAGGTGGCTCCTTATTGATGCCATTGATTGTCCCTGAGGTAATGTCCAGAGAAAGAAACCCTATAAATGCAAACACAATGTTCAAGAAAATCCATATAGGTTCACCTAATAGAATGAAGATTACGTGTGCTTGTGTGTACATATTCTTCTGGGTCCTCCACACCCAGCTACCCCACTGCAATGTGTGCAGAAGCCTGTCACCAGGAGCCATCAGTTCACCCAGATGTAACACAGGTACTTGGTCATTTCTTTGACTTTTCCTATTGATGACAGGAAAATATGATTGCAAGGCCCAAAGACTGTGCCTCCAACCAGAAATCTCCAGCTGAGACCAAAGGAGAAGACCCACATGAATGCTCAATCTGGCTTTAAATGCCCAAGGAGCAGACAGCCTAGGCTTCGAGAGACACCCTGCCTCCGATGCCTCGCTCCTCACCTCCTCCTCAGCAGCAGCCTATAAGAGGGGGAGGGCAAGCGCTCTCTCCTCTTGGCCTCCAAAGAGATTTTATGATTATGAAACTTGACACCTCCAGCACCTCTTTCCATCTATCCATTCTCTCATGACCTTGCTTCCTATTTTCCTGAGCAAACTGAAGCCATCTGATGAGAACCTTGACACACAGCCCAGCACGCCACCGACCAGACACATCTGCACTCACTCTGTGATGAGAGAGCAGGTGCAGGTGTACCAGCAGAGCCCCCTACACGAGTGCACAGCAGCCCATTGTGTTTGTCCTACTCTGACACAGGACCCCCCAAATTCCTGCTTGTCTCTTGCAACTTCCATTTCTTACTCTCTTTGGGGACATGGCTGTCAATAGCCAAGCCTGCCTTCATTTCTCTTATCTTAAAAAGAAAACACCCTTTTCGCTCTACTTTCCCCTTCTAGTTACTTAGATTTTTCTCAGTTTCCCTTCACATGAAACTCCCCCACATAGTTACATATATTCACTGTCCCCAGAATTTGTCTTTTACTTGTCTTAATCTTCAGGGTCCTTCTCCATTCCCTTCTTTCCCTTATAATCTATTGAAGAAACCAAGACATTTGATGTGGAGAGGTTCCCACACTGTGGATTTTGTCAAATGCATACTCATTGTGTAAGTTAACAAGTTCTTCTGTTCCCTGTATTTCCTACAATCGGCAGAGGCTGGCTCACACTCAAGATAGGTCCCTCTGACAAGACTGTAAGTGGTATTTGGCGAGGAGGATTAGAACATACAGTTATTTCTCTTTATGTGAGGTTAACAGTTATTGATGCTTAATGCCTGGATTAATGGATGAAAAGGGGTAATAGTCTATCATTTCTTTTTCATTTATTAGCTAGAATATGTTTATAAAGAGACATTTTCCCTCATCTACATTTAGTTTACCAGTGGCATAGTTCATATAGGTAAGGTAGGGGGAAAACAAGTGTGATCTTTTCCTTTCATTGGTTTCTAAGATAACGAATTGGTTTCTTATCATCCTCTAGAAGTGTCCCCATTTTTATTTTAACAGAACTGACAGATTTAAGCATATTTGATGTGTTTCAAACTATTGTATATGTTATCCTTATTGAAGCTCAAATTATCTTTGGCCTGTGGGCACCTCTTTAACTTTAATATAACTCTAGCCATTTTGGGATGGGGTTGTGTTTTTGGTTTTTTGGTTTTTTAATTTTGTTTTGTTTTGTTTTGTTTTTTGCTATGTAGCATAACAAGACGTTCCAGACTCATCTTGCACATTTCCTGCTCCAGATCTGGACTCGGCCAGCTCTCCCAGAAGCCCTCCATCTCACACTAATTAAGAATTCTTCTACCACAACTGCGCCTGTCAAGGCAACCCATGAACTCCATTCTGTGAAAGCCAACAGCCAAGTCTATCCTCATCTTCCTTGACATGCCAGCAGCATTTCACATAGCGATCCTTTTTCCTTTATTTTCCTCACTTGGCTTTCAGCACAACAACCCTCTGTTGGGCTTTCTCCTTCACGGCTGTCTGCCCCTTCTCAGTCCATTTTGCTGCCTCTTCCACTGACCTCTTATTATTGAAATGCCCCAAGGCTCAGTCCTTGAACCTCTTGTCTTTTCTAGCTTGATAATCTCATCCAGTCTCATTTTATTCCAAATACAAGGGATGACTCCAATTTATCTCTGGCTTCAGCCTCTCCCTCAACTCAGATACCTATAGCTCAACATCCTTCTGTAGATTTCCAGTGGAAGCTTACTAAAACACTTCTAATTTCACATTCTCACAACTGAACCCCTGAGTGTCCCCCGAAGTCTTGAATAGTCTACCTTTCAGTTAGTGGCCATTCTATCCTTGCCACCGTTTAGATCTAAATCCCTGGAATCATTTTTGGCCCATCTCTGTGCTTCACATCCCACATTCTTTACATCAGGAAATCTTATTTATCTATGAAATATATTTAGAATCTGACCATTTCTTCCAACACACTTAACACCCTAGTCTGAGACATCATCGTTTTTCTCCTGGATTATTGCCAATAGCCTCTTAACCAGTATCTTGGCTTCTACCTTTACTCTCTTATAGTCTACTCTTGGCTAGGTGACCCATTAGAGCATAATCATGTAACCGTCTCTTCTCAAAACCCTGCAGTGGCTCCTTATTTCAGATTAATAGTCATAGTCTGCAATGGCCTATAATGCTCTACACAATTTACTCCCCAGACCTCGGCACACATCTACCCCTCACCCCCTCCCAATGCTCCTCCCCTTTGTTTTCCGTCCTTACTTCCTCCTTCTTCTCTCCAGCCTCCTGAATTGCCTTTCAATTCCATAAACATCAGACACGCCCCTCCCTCAAGGCTCTGCCTTTGAAAGCATGAGAAGTTCTCATCCCAGATATCAGAGGTGACTTTTTCTCTCACCTCACTCAAATCTTAATTTGAATGTCACCATCTAAATGACACCTCCCCTAAATTATCGCACGTAAAATTGCAAACCTTTTCCCACCCACTCCACTCTGGACCCCCCCTTACCCTGATCAGTTTTTTTTTTCCATAGAACTATCACTTTCTAAACTTTTATGGTGCATTACAGCTTGCCTGAGTGTTATATTTGTCATCAGTTATCCGTCTCCACCTACTAAAGTGTAAGTTCCACAAAGATAGGGTTTTTTTCTTGTTTTGGTCAGTTACATCCCCAGGCCCAGAAGAGTGCCTGACACATACTAGGCCCTCCAGAAATACTGGTTGCTTAAATGAATGAATAAAAGATAGCCCGCATGACCATCCACTGCCAGAGGGCTTTGCCCTGAGGTCATTGCTAAACCCAGGTAAATGGTTTTTTTCCAATACCCTGAATGGGAACTGCAGTCACAAGTGACCTCTGGTGGGACACTCCATAGATAGCAGAGATCATTTACAGGGTGATGGCTCTCTCTTGTATCTCTTTGCCAGGCATTTAAGATATCACATCTTTCAGGCTTTCCTCTGGGGCTGCTCCTTTGTCTCCATTTATGGCTTCTTTCTTTGACCTGCACCTCAAACCTGAGGATTCCCCATGGCTTCATCAGTGTACATATCTTTAGGCTCCACTTGTTCATCGGGTAATGCTGTTCCATCACTGTGCCTTTCTACCCACGCAAGCCCTGCCAGCAAGAGGGGCCAGCCAACAGGATCAGCTGCAGGGTCCTGTGGTTACTAGACAAACCCTGACCCACCTCCAGCCCATTTTCTGCCTCATTGCCCACACCTGGATGTATCATAATTGCTGCCAATATATCGTCAGGCCCTTGTTTCCCACCACCCTTTCCTTGAAGGAGCTCCAATCCACCCATCTGCATTCTAACTCCCAGAGTAATTGCTTTTGGCGGCAGATCCTCTCTGTGAGCAGAGAGGGAGCACCTTGCTAGTCTCATCCTAGTTCAGGTCCTGAGCCACAGTCACAACTGTTCAACAGAAACAAATAAGTAGCAGACTGATCAGATCGAGAGGTCTCAGCATAGTAAATAATGCAGCACACCCTCAATCAGGTCAATTGTAAGAGGATTGACAGCTGGGGGTGGGAGATTACACTGGGTGTGAAACGCTCACTGGTTGAAAGCACACAGGGCAGTCTGCCCCATTACTGCTTATTGGTTAAGAGTGCCCAGGACAACCTACCACTCTAACTCTCATTGGCTGGGAACCATCAATAACACCTAAAAAAAATAAATGCTTTGTGTGTATATGTATACATACACAATATAATATTGTAACTGCCTGCTTTATATTAATTTTAAAATCTTAAGGCAAATATTTGAGAGGTTAATTCATTACAATGAATGGGTTCCAGGAGGAAATGGGGTGTGTGTTAAATGGGGTATGTGTGTATTTTCTAATGACTCCCAAATCTACCTCTTTAGCTCACCTCTTCCACAAGAACTCCAGACCTAAATATTCAACTGCCTCTTGGACATAGTTTCAACCAACATGTATTCAACTGAATTCACATTTCCTCTATGCCCTTTCCCACCAAACCTGATCCTCACCCGTGCCAGCTCCGTAAACAGCAGAAGTGTCCACCAGCCTTCCAACTCAAAACCAGAAACATCATTCTTTCCTCTTCCTTGTCATTTATATTCTTCAGTCATCAAAATCCTGCCCATTCTGCCACCTTATAACCTATTGAATGCATCCTGGTGGGCCCCATTCCAGGGGGCAGCCAAATAAATGAAACCCTTCACTACAATTGAGCATTGCCTTTTATGGTGACAGAAGAGAAGACAGTGCCAAGAAGACAGAGGGAGGGTCAGTCATTTCCATCCATAGGAGAAGGGAATGAGAGATAGCTCTCTCTAAGCTGAGTCTTAGTGAATGAATGTCCTTGGTGGACAGAAGAAGGGATTCTAGATGGAGTAAACAAAATGACAAAAGATCTGTTAGTTTGGGGACACATAATACTTAACACAAATAATTATGAGTGTAAACAACCCAAATGTCCACCAATGGCTAAATGAATGAACAAACTGTGATACACTCATACAATATAATACTATTCAACCATAAAAGGGAACCATTAAAAGGAATGAAGTATTGATAGATGCTACAGTGTGGATGAACATTGAAAGGCTTCACACTAAGTGAAGAAGGCAGACACAAAACATCACACTGTATGATTCTCAATAAAAACTATCCAGAATACGCCATCCACAGAGATAGAAAGTAGATTGTTAATTACCAGAGGATAGGGAAGAGGGAAACAGGAAGTAATTTTGTTTATTTTAAATGTTTATGTATTTTAACCAACTTGACAATAAACTATTTAAAAAAATAAATAAATGTTTATGTATTTTAAGAGAGAGAGAGAGAGAAAGAACACAAGCAGGGGAGGGGCAGGGGTCGGGGGAGAGAATCTCAAGCAGGCTCCAGTCTGTCAGCGCAGAGCCTGACAGGGGCTTAATCTCAGGAACCATAAGATCATGACCTGAGCCAAAATCAAGAATCAGATGCTTAACTGATCTAGCCACCCAAGCGCCCCAGGAATTAATTTCTTAATGGGTAGGGGGTTTCCTTTTGAGATGATGAAAATGTTTTGGAATGAGATAAAGGTGGTAGTTGCAAAACATTATGAATGTATTGACGATGAACTGTTCATTTTTAAATGGTTAATGTTATACCCTGTGAATTCATTTCCATTTTTTTAAGAAAACCTTTTAATTAAAAAACATTTTTTTCAACATTTATTCATTTTTGAGAGACAGAGAGAGACAGAGTGCAAGTGGGAGAGGGGAAGAGAGAGAGGGAGACACAGAACCCAAAGCAGGCTCCAGGCTCTGAGCTGTCAGCACAGAGCCCGACATGGGGCTTGAATTCACAAACCATGAGATCATGGCCTGAGCTGAAGCCAGATGCTCAACCAACTAAGCCATCCAGGTGCCCCTAAATTAAAAAAAAAATATTTGCTGGGAGCCGCACTGGCCTCACTGGATGACAGTCACAAGAAGGAAATGGCAATGTTTGCACAGCTCCTGCCATGAGAAATGAAAACTGATATCTCTTTCTGCTACTACTGGCTCATGTTGGAAATAAGCCTGCTGGTATTGACCAGGCCTCACAATATGCCATATCAGACCAGTATTCTGAACACAGATACCTCATAAGGAAAAGCATATTCCTGCTTTTAGATGAAAGCACTGTGGATGATGGTCAAAAGGCTCTTCCTATGGTCCTTGCAGATCCAAGACTTAGATAATAAAGGAGGTTAAGAACACAAGAGTTACCATTGAGCCTAGCCCCAAGACAAAGAGCCTAATTTAGAGTTAAGGAACAGGTAAGGGCAGAACTTAAGTTAATACTTACACCTTTTCTAACTGGTGATGTATGACAGTCCCTTCCCCAAGGCCTACTTTCTGCAAACATCCTCCCTTGCACTGGCGGCTGGGATGAGGATAGATAAGAGTAGCTAAAACATAACCCAAAGACAAAGGCTGACACTTTAGGGCCTTCATGGTATTTACACATTCAGCATCAAGTCAAAAAGGTTTCCAGAAACAACTTATTAACCAGTTCAAAAGCATTCATCCTCTTGAGAGCCAGACAGAATGACTCCTAGCCTATCTATATACAATTTAACCTATATCCTAATCCTAGCGTTATTAACTTAGAACAAATATGTATGTCATCCTGTTTTTCACTAAGAACATCCTGTTATTTCCTTAGTTGTAAGATTTACTCAACCTCACTATGATTGGGGTAATTCTGCAAGAATATTTCTGAAAAACTTGTTCTTGTACAGTTTTCAAAGTATCTTATCACAAAGAGCTTCCCATTGTAAAAATTCTCTTTTCTGATCTCATGTTGTTGTTGAACCTTTAAATAAAGACACCAAAACCGACAGGATGGAGATGGCTGCCTGGTGATCAGAAAGAATCTCAGGGCTCTCTCACTCTCCCTCTTGCCGATACCATCCATCCTTCAGGTACCCCTGGACCTGCTGGAGCCGGCCTCCAGCAAAAATTTTTTTAAACTTGGAGGGATAAGGGAGAAGTAGTTATAAATGTAAGAAGGTAGGGGGAAAATAGTATAAAAAGGACCATAACTGTAGATGAAGGACCTTTGGAAATATTCAAACTCTTGTCCTTATGGATTACTGATACAGCATGAAATTCAACAGATATGTAGATATTATCTTACTTGACTGGGGTGATAGTTTTGGCTCCTGATTCCTCTTGCAGTCCTAGTTTTGATCCAATCTTCTTTAGAACATGATTTCCAAACATACTCATCATTGTACTGTGTCTGATTAAGCAGAGGGTCACTAAGTGAATAGGTATATCCCAGTCTTCTGATACTCTTTTGACTACAAGAAAAGACAGTGGAAATCAGAATAAGGGATTAAATGCCAACTCTCACAGCAATGCACAGGTCAAATAATTTTCCTTATTACATGTTTTTTTTTTTTTAAAGATTGGCTGGCTCAAGCAAGACGATGCCAGAAATAATTTTATTTCCAGATTCCCCTGAAAAGAAACAATCCCATATCTTAGGATGGCTCTTCACAATAGTACTGGAGGCTTAAAATGGGATTTAGAAGAGCAACAATCTGAAATTGATAAATTTTTTTAATTAAAAATTTTTTAAAGAGCTGGGGACTCTCCTATATGAACAGTACTTCAGTGTAATCAAATACTTGCTGAAGAAATGTTTCTCTCTATGGAAGTACTCCTTCTGGTTAATAAAAGGAAGATATGTAAGAACTGAGAATTCCCTGGTTTGCAAGGCTGTAATGAAACCATGCATCCAGGCAATGGTCAGCAGTTTGTCCTCATAGTTCAAGAAGAGGGTTCACCAGCTATCATGTTTCCTAGATGGATATACACGACACCTACTCAATATTTTTGTCAAAATACCCAGCTTGAATGAGATGAAGTCTTTGGTATATTAGATTATAGGAAATGCATAAAAAGAGGAGTATTTTAAATAACACAGTGGAGATGAAATCAGGAAAATCCAGAGCCGTTTCTTCAACAATGAAATTCTCAGGGAAAAAAAGGAACCTATATAGATTAAACGAGGTTGAAAAACATAATAACCAAGTGCAATGGCTTATAAATAAATAACTTAATTTCTAACCAACTTGTTATTTTTTTAATTATGAGACATTAGGGGGAAATTTGATTGCTGATTGGCCATTTGATATTAAGGAATTACTTTTTAGCTGAGACAATGGTATTGTAGCGTATTTTTAAAGAGTCCTTATCTTTTAGATACATAAAAATAATACTCAGAAGTAAAATAATAGAATGTCTGGGATTTGCTTCAACATCATCCAGTGGGAAGGCTGGATGGAAGGTACACATAATAAGTGTCCATTTGTCTGGGGCACCTGGGTAGTTCAATTACTTAAGTGTCCATCTTCGGCTCAGGTGATGATCTCACAATTCGTGGGTTCGAGCCCTGCATCAGGCTCTGTGCTGACAGCTCAGAGCCTGGAGCCTGCTTCTGATTCTGTGTCTCCCTCTCTCTCTGCCCCTCCCCCGCTCATGTGTCTTCTCTCTCTCTCTCAAAAATAAACAAACATTTAAAAAAAGTTTTTAAAGAAGTGTCCGTGTGTTGATTCTTATAGCTAGATAATGGCTGGGGATTCATTGTTTGTTCTTTTGTGTATGTCTAAAATGTTTCATATTGGCCTTTTAAAAAAAGAAGATTGGGATCAATTCAAGTATTATCAATAAGAAACCACCAACATCTAGAAAGTGGGACACATCTGGATGATAAACTAGTTTACTTGTTATTCAGATGTTCAGACTCATGGAGGACTTAAATCATGGAGGACCTAAATCAAACTGAAGGAACCAAAGATACATGAAGATTTTCCAAAGGCAACACGGCACAAATGGCTTTAAAGGAGGTGATTTTCAGATCTCCATCTCCCAGTATACTCTTCCTTAACAAGTCTCTGCCTGAAAGCAAACCTGCATATCTACCCAAGTGCTCCTGTCCCACACCTTTCTAGCTTCCCGGTGTCATGGCAGGATTTTAGGAAGGTGCAATACGCCTCTGGGTATAAGCCTCCAGCAGTGAGAGGGGTGTGTCATCAAGAGAAACTTAGTTTACACTGGTTCCAAGGAAGCCACCTTGTACTCCAAATTCCACGCCCTTACTTTGGGCTCACGAGTATTTCTGAAAGGGTGGGGTGCTCTAACCAAGGCAAATGTCCTGTGTGTAGGTCTTCTGGATTTAGGTACATGGCACACGGCTCTGACTGAGAGCAGTGTCTAGTTTCTCATTTCCTAATAGTTACAAAACCTTTGTCCTTTAGGCAGAAGCCTCTGAGGAGAGAGCAGAGACTACAGAGTGCTTTGAATGGTTCTTTTCCCCCACATATTTAAACATTTTTTCAGGTTTTAAAAAAAATCCCAAAGACATGTCATTAGCTAGAAAGAAAAGCATCTCCGAGCAGGTGAAGCAGTACAGGAGGGGCCAATGGTGATTCATTTAAACACAACTGGAATCTTTTCTGAGACTAACAAATTCTTAAGGATTCACTGGATAATGCTGGTACATAAGAATTTTGTTATCTTTTCCTTCAGATTTCCATCATTCAATAGGTACTTAAGTCTTATGTTTTTTTAATCCAAACATATAATGAAATATTTAATCCGAAACAGCCAGTCTTCATTTTATTCTACATTGTAAAATATTTAACAATACATGGAAATATAGGCTGCCTGGCCAGACCAGTTAATTTTCAGCATATAGAAGTTTCTCTTTCATTAAATGCATAGTAAATGTTTGATTTGTGTCTATAAGAGAAGATGGATGTTAACTGAATCTGTTGTGGTAATCATTTCACAATGTATGGAAGCCAAACCATCACCCCATGGCACGCCGTGTGGCTTAAAGTTATACAGTGATGCGTGTTAATTACTCCTCAATAAAACTGGGGGAAAAATAGCCATTTGTTAAGACGTAGCTTTTCAGGATACTTCTCAAAACATGAGATAGGGAAAAACTCAGTAACTGAATGAAATATCATCTAATTATATGCTCTCAATAAAAAAAATTCAAGGACTTCCCAACCATGTCGTCAGCTGCTCAGTCATTAAAATATCGCCTTGTAAGTTTCGGCATGTAACTCAGAAAGAGCTCAAAGTCTCAAATGTCAATGCTACACTCAACTCCTTTCATTCACAGCTACTTACTCATGTGAACAAGACTGCCATTAGCATATCTACATAGAGAAATAAACACCAGAAGCAGAAAAAAAAATTGGTGCTGAACACAGTCTACTCCAAAAATAGTAACACTTCAAACAGGATACATAAACTAATTGCAAACAGAACAGTCACTTTCATCTCATTAAGATACAATTCCAAAAAAGTTGCTTTCTGTGTTTAGTGACTATTAACATTGGTAATGTATTCATTGCTTTGAGCAATTGTTTACTAAAAATAATAGCTATAACTCAATACCTAGGGTCATATAATATGTTTAAAAATTAATTTCAATTAATATACTAAAATAGTTTCAAAGAAATATAATGGAGTGATCAATAAATTGCTTTCAAACATAAAACATAGCAGGGTAAAATTCTATGGAGGAAGTGGAGAGGGATAAAAGTTCAAGAAACAAAAGGAATGAAATAAATTGTCGACTGTCTTGTGGATTTTTTAAAAAGATCATAGCAAATATCAATTTGCTAAGGTGTTTAGATTACTCATGAAGAGCCAAAAATTAAGTCCTCCATTAAGAGAAACCTCGGGCTGCACATAGCCCCAGTCCCAGTCCCAGGAAAAGCCTCAGACTGTTCAAGGCTAAAGCCATCCTCAGACCGCCCTCAGTTCAGCTAATCAAAAAGAAAAAAATAGGAACATTCCTATGGTCTGAGTCAAGGCTGGAAACTGCAGATACAAACTAGCCAATTTCTCACTGCTTGTCTGAACCCCATGTGGGCCCTTTGAACTCACCTCACAATTGGTCATTTTCAAAGGATTCTCAAAGGTCATGATTGGGTCCCACCAAAAGCAATGAACACCTCACAGACACTGAATGGTCGAAGCTGTAATTGTAATTGGTGCTTATGTGATGATGCTACATGTACTGTAACACCCCCATCCCTTACTCCTTAAAAACCCTGTTCGCTATTGTTCTTGGCTTCACCTTGCTGCCATGACATCAGCAGGCTGGGTGAGCCCCTGCGCAAGCTTGTAATAAAGACCCTTTTGTACTTGCATCGGTGCCGGCTCCTTGGAGTGAGGTGCCTAGACAAACTAAACCAAAAACTCAACCAGCTTTTCTGCTTCTGTACAAGTGCTTGCACTACGGAAAACTAAAACCTAACTAGCTCCTTCCGCTTCTGTACCATTGCTTAAGGCTGAGTTTCAGCTTTCCCGAAACTATCAGGCAGTTACACATTGCCCAAGGCAGGAGAAACCACCCTTGCAACACCCAATCAGGAAAGTCCAGCGACCACCCTCCACATTACTGAGGGAGAGGCCTGGAGATAGTAACTATAGATAGGACCCTGTTACCTAATGTTAAAGTTAACCTGTTAGTCGCCGAACAAGACCCTAGGCTCGCTCTGTGATTGGTTGAATTCAAAGGTGTCCTAAATGTTGTAATTGGATCCCGCCAAAAACCTGATGGCGGGAACCAATCAAATGTGGTATATGTTCACATTTAAATATCAACCAATGACAAACATGTAACCATAGAGATCCCCTGTCCCTCCCCACGACTTGTTTACTCCTGTCTATAAAAAGGCTGCAAAGACTTTGTTCGGGGCCTCTCAGCGTCACCGGCGACGAGTGCTTGGAGGTCCAGGTTCGAACCTGCAAATAAACGACCCTTGCCGATTGGCTTGGACTCTGGTCTCTGGTGGTCTGTTTTTGGGGTCTCTCGAACTCTGGGCGTTTCACTCATTGGCTATATTTTTTAATGACTTAATAGTTTCAGTATAAAATGTCAATGTCTAGGATGGGCTATACATTTTATCTTTTGCAATTATTTTAATTTATGATGAAAACTTTTCTGTGAACTTTAAAAATATGCGAATTTGAAGACCACTGACCTAGACTCCATTAGTACCCATTTGTTTTTGGCTCTTATCCCGAATGTTTCTTCTTCAGACAACTGTTACTGTCGGGGAAGCTAGCAAGATAATTACCATCAGATGATAAATCTCCCAGTTAGGGGACATAATGGAACTCAGTGGGATAGCCAGTAACTCATATTATCAGGAGTTTTGCAACCCTATAGTTTGTGAAAGTCTATCAGATATTATGCTGGGGTGGTGGGGGGGGTGCGGAAATTAATGAAAAATTTTGAGTAGCTTCTCCATGCTGGTCACTGTACTAGTGCTTCATTCTGTCATCAGAAAAACCACCTGAGGCAGGGATCACCATTCCCACTTCGCCAACCATAAAGCTGAGTCACAAACAGCTTGTTACCTGGCAAAGAGGAGAGATAGCAAGGGGTAGAGCAGGGAGGGGAGGTGGGAGCCCATATCTGCCTGACTTTAGCCCACAGTCCGCTTGACTCTAGCCCATAGTCCATTTGACTTCTCAGCAACTTGAACTTTTAAGGTGAAAGGATCCTCTTTATTGGAAACAATTCATAGTCAACACAGGGAAGTGAAGTTTCTCCATGCTGGTTGCCCCCCCACCCCTGAGGCAATGAATGATAACAAGGCTTTCCTTGTTGGAGACCGGCTCCGGCTGGGTCCAGGGGTCCCTGAAGGATGGACGGTGTCCGCAAGGGAGGGATAAGAGAGCCCTGAGATTCTTTCTGGTCACCAAGCAGGCATCTCCGCTCTGACTGGGGCTCAACTTTATTTTATAATTGTTTAGGAGATGGCACAGAAGTGGCATTTGCCTTAGACAATGATTTCTAATGACAAACTTCTTTGATATGTAAGAATTTCCCAGAACATAGATTTGTAGAAGATTCCTGCATAACCTTTATCAATAGTGATTGAGGTAGGTGATTTAGATGCTTATCCTGTGGGGAAGGAAGGTATCGTTAGCACATCAGACAACATTTTTAACATAAAAAGGGCGAAGTTACTTCTTTGTGGGCAGGGGTCAATAGCTTGTTTGTTTAAGGTGGAAGTATCAAGAAAAACAGGTCTTTCAGGAAACACCTTTGCTCCCATAATCACAAAAGAAGTTACTCAATAGGTTCCTTCACAGGGAGCAATCAGCATATTCAAGGTCAGAAAATGCTCCAAGCAGAAACAAGTGGCTGGGGGTGGATATCTGTCCTTAACTCTAACTTAGGCTCTTTGTCTCAGGGCCAGACTCAATTGTAACTCATATTCTTAGCCCCCTTTATTATGTAAGTCTTGGATCTGCAAGGCCCTTAGGAAGAGCCTTTTAACAATCATCCACAATATTTTCATCTGAAATCTCTTTGGAAAAGGCGGGAATACGCTTTTCCTTATGAACAATTTGTGTGGGGAATATCAGTCTGATCTGGAATATTGTGAGGCCTGGTCAATACCAGCAGCCTCATTTCCAGCATGAGCCAGCATAGCAGAAGGAGATATCAGTTTTCGTTTCTCACGGCAGGAACTGTGCAAACGCTACCATTTCCTCGCTGTGACTGTCATCCAGTGAGGGCAGTGCGGTTCCCAGCATTTCCTGATCCCGCTCTCACCCACCCACCAATGAGTTTAAAGAGGCTGCTGATGGACAGAAATCCCCACCACCCTCAATTCAGGTGGAAATGGAGATGCTGAAAGCCAATTTATGAAGCAGTAAGTGGAGGAGCAAAGGTAAGGGTAAGTGGGTTATGGCCTTCCAGCTTCCAAGACTAGTGTTGGTGATAGAAGTGCTAACAATTCCTCATTCATCCAGTTATTGAATTGTCATGGTCTGCCTACTCTATGCCAGGTAATGAATTCAATGCATGCTCTATGTCTAAGTAGCACAGTTCTGTTAACCTATATACTGGCTCTATTGTGAAGCATGACCCACAGTGAGTTAATGAAGGATCCATGTGTTCCTTTCCTTAGTCTTCCTGAAGGAGGTTTGGATAGGTCTGAAGGGGGTTGGTCTGTCTGGTGCCTGGAAGAGCACTGGGCATGCAAATGGTTCTACCTGAGTGCACTTCTCTAAGCCTTCTCTGATTACTCTTTCTATTGGTCGGAAGATGTGTGTACATCTACACAGATGAAGGTGTGTACATCACATCAGCCTGACACTAATCGGGACCTACCGAATTAAAACCGGCACCGATCCCTTCTTGGGCGTGAATGCAGTCTTCATGGTGGTGGCATAGGGATCCCAGGTGACCTCGCCTGGCAAAAGGATGACAAAACAGTTAGAATATTCCCATCATATGTTGTATTAATGATTAAAATAATTTTTCAGGAGAAAAATTGGGGATAGTAATTTAAAGTCTAAAGGAATAAATGCCAACTTGTAGCCTCTTTTAGGAAAGAAGGGAAGCTCAGTTGAATTATTTGAGTTCTTCCCTAAATAAAAGTAGGTCCATTGTTTTTCTTGAGGATTTGTACATGCTATTTTAAAGAGGTCGAGCAATGCATAAAAATATAAAACAGAAAGTTCGACTGAGGTTCTATCACCTCAAGATGCTCCCTTTGACTGTAGTGACCAACTTCTCATGCCTATGTGCACATGAAATGATTTTGCACAAAGGGGCTCATAGTTTAACATGACTGGTTTTATCCTGAGCACCTTCTCCTTCCTCCCTCCTCTCTCTACTCGTTGTCACCCTTCTCAGCCCTCCTCCCAGCCGATGTTAATAATTACGCTGGTTCCTTTCCATGCTTTTACATCTGCTGGTACAATGATACAGAGATTTATATATACATCTATAAGGACGCTGACATACTGGGTTTTAGTTTCCACCATCTTGTTTTACAAAATGGACTCATAATTCACAAAGTGACCTTTTCTCCTGTCTGTCACTGAACAGGGTCATCTGGGGCAGCTCTGATGCATTCTCTGCCACAACTGTGGAGGATTCTGCCCCATAGATGTTATTTAAATCTGCAAGAGCAGGTGGAATCAAAGAAAGAGGGAGTATTGATGGAGGAGACCAGCTCAAAGGCTGAAGCCTGGGACACCCCAACGTCAAAAGGTTGGGGGAGAGACGAGAAGAGCAGTTAGTGAGGACGGAGGAAGGGGCCACAGGAAGGAGGGCTTTCCAGAAAGCAGGCCAGAAAAAACTGCTATATTTTTCTCAAATATGTCTTAAGTTTCCAAATAGCCTTCCCATCTATATGCACTGCCCAGCCTATACGGCCCCGAGGGAACTTTTAATTTCTGCTGCCTCTGTACTTCTCCCCCTTCATCTCCCATCTCCCAAGCAGGTCTTGTTTCTAATTTAACAGGCCCTTTGGGGGCAGCCAGGCAGCTGAACCTACTCCTCCGTGACTGTTTCTCCACTTCCCTGCCACGGGTTGAGACTCCCCTGTACTTAACAAAAGCCTGAGCCCCTCCCACCCCCACCGGCTGCACTTCATGCCTCTGTTTACACAGGTTCTGAGAAATGACGTCATTCTCTGATACCCCCGCTTTAGTGGGAGTCACTTCGTGCTTCAAAGCATTTTGTTCCACCTGCAGAATTAAATGTTCTTTGTTCAGGGAGTTCCAAGTATGGACAAGTAAGTGGGAAGAAATTGGTAGGCAGTGCTGCTCTTAAAAGAAACTCCGTGTAACCTGATTTGAACCTCGGAGTGTGACTCTTGCGGCGTTCAGGAAGGACCCTCTGCACAGAGACCACACACCATTTCCCCCTTTTGCCTAAAGCAACAACACTGACCCAGGCCAGACCAATTTCCTGTTAAACCCAAATATGCCTCAACAACCCTGGCCACACTGCGCCAGGGTAACCTCTCCCAATCGGTTACATGGGCAAATCAGGAACGTCTCTGGGTGTCGCTGTCTGTGGCCTTTTCTCCTTCTGGGGACAGGCTGGGTACTGGCAGCTTCTGTTGCTAAGATCTTATTCCGGAAAGCATTGGGCGCAGGAGAGGCCATGCCTGGCTGCCTCTAGGACCTGAGACAGAGCGGACCCCCCGCTCCCTAATTCTAACCCGCCTGGATGACCAGAATGATGAGATGTGCATTCAATTTCCAGGACATCTTTCTTCAATTCTTTGTGTTTAACAATTTTTCTTACTAAAAGTCTTTATCTCAGGTCTGTGTCTATGCTTTTTATTTCCACTGACAAAGCTCCTGGAAGTAAAATGTTACTAGAATTAATCCTCTTCATTAACAGCAGCAGTAACTTAAAAATCTATCAGCCAGATATTCTAAAAACCAGTTTCCAAGCATAGGTTTGGAAGCCATTGCTTTCTTTTATGCTTGTTCTTGGTAAGTATCTCAGTGTCTTTCCCTCTAACTCCGTGTCTACCTCTCCCAGGATTCTGTCTTCCTGTTTCTACCATCTCTCATTTTCTGTTCATTCTACGGTCAAGTCTTGAATTCCTTCCATGGACCATGGAGACCATAGGCCCTAGGCCTTAGAGACCTTGTCCTGGGCTTGGGGACCTCACAGGTGAGTAGAGGAGAGAACAAAATCCAACGAGCACTTGTAAGTGCAGTGCCGTGTTGCGTGTCAGGAGAGCCCCGGGGAAGGTGCAAGTCTTTCTGGTTGGATGACAGAAGGGGCATCAAGGGCGGATCCCGGAGGGACTTCCTAGAATAGGTGGCATCTGAGCCGAGACTTAAAGTAGGAGTTTGACAGGGATTATAGGAGGACACGAAGTGAAGTGTTCTTCAGGGGAAGCAGCATGAGGTGTGAAAGGCTGAGACACGGCAAGTGGCCCGATGTGAGTATAGCAGGGGAAGAAGTGGCCAATGACAGGCCAGTGAGGCCTTGTTTGCCTTGCTGTCCCCTTGAACCAACTGCTCCCGGAAGAATTCACAATTAGGAAAATTGATTATGAGGTTTTGAAAATATTATAAAATAGTAACGAACATGTGCATATTATATTACACTTCACAAACTATGCAATCTTGTTTTATCCTCACAATAACCTACTAGATGGGCAAGTATGGATGGTACCTGGTAATTCAAAGTGTGTCCTGTTGTCAGGAGGATGAAAGGCACCAGTGAATTCTAGCATTTAAAATAGGCTGAACTGGGACCCAAAAGATTTGTCCACATCAGACAATCCCCAGAACCCATGAATGGTAAACACATAAGGATAAAGGGCCTGTGCAGATGCAGTTAAGGATCCTGAGATGAGGAGATTGTGCTGGATTATCAGTGGGCCCTAAATGCAATTTCATCATCCTTATGGGAGGGAAACTCAACACAGAAGAGGAGGCGATGTGACCGTGGAGGCACACACTGCAATGATGAGGCCACCAGTCAAGAATGCCAACAAGAAGAGGCCCCAGAAAATATAAGAGGCGAGGAAGGATTCTGCCCCAGAGGTACCAGGGCAGTTTGATTTGGGGCTTCAGGCCTCCAGAACGTGACAGAACAAATCTCCTTGGTTTCAAGCCACAGGTTCGTGGTTATTTATGGCCGTCCTTCAAACTGATAACTGCCCTTACAAGACCATATACAGTAATAGTTCAATAGCAAGTAGCCTGTGGTAGTCATTGTCAACCTCTCATCTTATTTTTGGACCAAATCTAGGCAGTGTGACACATCAGTCCCCCACCTTTTGGAGCATGACACTTCCAGCAGTGGAAGATAGAATGACAGAGTGCCTATTAGAGCCCAAAACTGGGAGTGAAGAATCAAACTCCCCGATGGGAAGGGGAACTTGGGGGGCAGAATCAATGAGTCCTAGTGATCAAATTGAGGTGTCAGCAAAGCTGCCCTCCCTTGTACCCTGAGCAGCCGGCACCCTCGTAACTGAGCTCGCAAAGGCTACTGGACAAAGAGTGTCATTTTCTACATGTTAGATAGAGGCCCTTTTGTAACACCCAAAATGGAACTATCTGGTAGACAATTGCATACTTTGGTTTGAAAATTAGGAGAAGCATTCGAGTGAGAAGTAAGATTAGAGCGCCATTGGCACATTTCTGTAGACTTGAAGCTCTTGGCAGGACATAGCCAGCTCACAGGATGTGAGACAAGAAGGATAGAATCTTGGAGGACTCCCGCATTCCCCAGACTAGAAGGGGGAGAGGAGACAGTGAAAGAAACCAAAACAAGTGGCCAGAAAGAGAGGAGATTCAAAAGGAGTGCGGTGGGGTAATCCTGGGGGAGAAGATTCTTCCTCCTGTCTCTCTTTTTTTTTCCCTTGTCATCATATAGAAACAGAATATTTTCAATGTGTTTTACAGATTAGGTATTTTCATTTCCTATCCTTAATTTACAAAGGGATGAGTGGAATGGAATGAAGATAGGGGTTTCATTCATTCTAGTGGGTCTACAATCCTAGGGAATGTGCTGTTCAACAGTTCCCACTGCTCTCAAGCCACCACGGATCCACAATTACCCAGCTAGGTGGCTGCGGCAGGTTATTATGGCCACAAGGAAGGCCAGGATGGAGCACAGTCACGGTCATCATACCACCAGCATGCAGCTAGAGTGGCTCTCCCTCCACTGACACAGAAAACTGACTTTGTAAACCTGCTGTATTTGCATGCACAATTAGCATTAAAAGCTCTACCTCGGTTGAATGCTGAATCACTTTGAAAGAAAAATCAGCAAAGGTTACCTACAAACGGTAGGTAAATGCCTAGCTGCCAGCCTCACCTACGATCACTATGCCGCCTCTACTATGCACATCTACTTGCAGGTCGCTTCCCTGCGTTGGGCACCGTCCCGCTTTCTGTGCTGTTCCCCAGACCTGCACGGGGGTCAGGTCTCCGCTAGATCTGCTGTCTTCAGAGGGTCTGACATCCGTACCTTGTCTTTGACTTTGGTATCCTGGAAAGGTGCCATTCCCTCCTTTTCCCTGTCCCCTCCTAGGCACTTCGTGGGGGTGTTTGAAAGCACCTGAGAGGTTTAGGGAGAGGTTGGGCAAAAATGTGACCGAGGGCAAGGTCATGAACATCTCATTCTGACTCCCAGACTCTCCATGAATTGAGTCCTATCCATAAGGGGGGCAAACAGCCCTGCAGACCAAAGCAGCCTCTGGCGTACCCCGTCCCCAGGAAAAAGCCTCGCCCCCCAGCCTGCCGGCAGAGTCTGCAGCCTTACTTGGCTGAATCCTGTGGCCTCCTTGAAAGGGGCACGCAGCCTCCCGCCCAGGCTGTGCCATTCCTCCTCAGAAGAGGCCACCGCGGTGCCCTCTGAGCCAGCTGGACTGGGTGCAGTGGGCGGAGCGCGGCTGCTTTGTGACGCGTCGCCATGGAGACGTGGGTCACTTCCTGCAGCTCAGCTGGAGGCCAACAGGTGCTGGAGGGAGGCGGAGGGCTCTTAATCTGGCGGACTCGGTGGAACACAGGGCGCGGAAAGCAAAGAGATGTGTTTCCAGCAATATGAATACTTTGTATGTTTGTATAGTTTTTGCAATGAGCTTTCCTGAGCATTGTCATGCATATTTGGGGAGAGGAGCAAAAAAGAGGAGTAGGTTGAAGAGAAAGTAATATTCTCAGATTTTCAGTTGCAAATTTTTTTTAAGTTTTTAATGTTTTTAAAGTTTTATTTTATTTTTAAAAAAAAATTTTTTTTAATGTTTTATTTATTTCTAGGAGAGAGAGAGAGAGAAAGCGTGAGCAGGGGAGGGTCAGAGAGAGAGGGAGTCACAGACTGAAACAGGCTCCAGGCTCTGAGCTGGCAGTCAGCACAGAGCCCGATGTGGGGCTCGAACCCATGAACCGCGAGATCATGACCTAAGTGAAAGCCACCCAGGCGCCCCTAAAGTTTTATTTTTGAGAGAGAGTGGGAGAGACAGAGACCGAGTACTAGCAGGGGAGGGGCAAAGAGAGGGGGAGACACAGAGCCCGAAGCAGGCTCCAGGCTCTGGGTTGTCAGCACAGAGCCCCATGGAGGGCTGGAACCCACGAACTGGGAGATCATGACCTGAGTCAAAGTTCGAGGCTCAACCAACTGAGCCAGCCAGGTGCCCCAATTGCAAAATTTTTATCTGCATAACTTTCAACTAAGTGACTGTGCAAAGTTGTCATAGATCTTTGCATTAAGTAGGAAACGAGTGGGCAGGGATGTGAGCAACATCTTTCTCCTCACCAGGGTTCCTGGCACAAACCTTTGTGTTGTGTGGTTGTCAATTTAATTATTCTGCTATCCCCACAAGAAAACTGTGTCTCTCACCCCCCAGTTTTCCCAGAATGTGGAGGATCTTTTATCTTCCTATTCTTGGCAACTACTTTGGTAGTTTGACACATAGTAGGAGCTTAGTAAAATTGAATCTTCCAGGCTAGAACACAGCTATTAGCCACCTGGGTGCAAACAAAGGACAGGAAGTACACACTGCAGACATCTGGCAACATATTTAGAAGGCAATTTACAACAATTTCTTCTCTGCAAAGGGGTTATTCAAAAGTCATTCAAAAGTTATTCAAAAGTTTGACCTTGATATCTACAAAAGGGGAGATTATCAAAGGACACAGAAAATAAGCATCAAAGTAAGCATCCCAAGTGTTTATGTAAGATATTGCTTAAAAATCAAGAACTCAAGTAGAATTTTTTGAAAGGATTCCGATCCATATAATGCATTTTACACTTTCAAATTTAACAGCAATGAATGGTGGTGGAATGCATACAAGGTAGAGAGTTCTGTCAATGTTATTAAAAGGAATGAGTCTAAATTAGGATTTGGTAGTGGCATCTAAATTAAGAAAATAACAGCCAATAACATTACAGTCTGAAAATGGCAGAGTTAATTAGCATAGCATAATTTAAGAAAAATATTTTTTTAAACAGAATAGTGAGTCTATAGAATTTTGAAAGCGAATTCGTTTAATATCTTACATTTGTCTCGTCTCAGGCAAGCTGTGAAATTGTGGCCCACGCACCGAATCAGGAGCTAGAAGAAATCTGTACTTTCTACCTGGGGGCCTGTGGGATCAAACAGATACTTCTCTGAGCCCCAGTTGATCTGTAAAATGAGAATACCAATACCTACGTCACCGGCTTGTAAAAATGAATAACTCCAACAATAATTTCTAAATTATAAAGCTGCATAAACCTAAGGTATTGCTCTTTTGTCTTTATGCTATTCTGAACTGCATTCTTTTTATGGTCTTGTATTTCTGCTTCAGAATGGATTTTTGGTACAAGTCCATTTTATCGCGAGTCGTATAGCACTATTCCTGGCCTCTGAATTCGGGTTGCTTGAGGTAGCCCCTTTCAATGATTACGATGATTTTTTTTTTTTCCCTTGTACTCTTTCGATCCACAAACACGGACTGGGCACTGAAGATGAGCTGGGTGAGGACATTAAGGGGCAATGCCCTGGATATCCTGGGATCTTGGGAGCTGGTCCTAGAGCAGGGAATGCCTGAGCTGGGCTCTCAGCTCAGCGGGAGATGGAGAGCTGCCACAAGGGAGAGAAAGGGCCCTGGAGGCAAGGGACAGTGTGGGATTGTCAACACTGAAAGAGTGAAGGGAGAGCTAAGAGACACTAGAGCACAGGCCCTGCAGGCCTTTTACAGTTTTCTGTCATTAGCTTATTATTCTTCTTAGCTTGTTTTCTCTTATAAAACTGGGTGCTCCTCGAAAGCAAGGGCTGGGACGCCTGGGTGGCTCAGTCAGTTAAACATCTGACTTCGGCTCAGGTCATGATCTCTCTGTGAGTTCAAGCCCTGCATTGATGGGTCTCAGTGCTGACAGCTGGGAACCTGGAACCTGCTTGGGATTCTGTGTGTGTCTCTCTCTCTGCCCCTCCGCTGCTTTTGCTCTGTTTCTGTCTCTCAAAATTTAAACTTTTAAAAAAGAAAAAGAAAGAAAACAAAAGCTGTGCATAGGCTTCCCCCGAGCATAAGAAGAATTCACTGGAGTTAAGCTAAAGCAACCGGGTGAAGAGATCAGGTCAGAAGTTTACATAAATCCTGACCTCTTTTTCCAGGGGAAAAAGAAGCAAGATTATCCGTATTACCTAACAGAATAAGTTAATCTTTCAGAAATTAAGGTATCCAGGTTACTAATATGCCTTTTACAGAGTTTTGAATTGATCTAAAACAATAGAGAGTAGTTATATTGAATGGGGTAAATGTTAAATGGTTGTTTCCAATATAAATTATTTTAATGAATTTCTTTCTGTGCACACACACACACGCACAGGGAACATGATGTAAAGTAGCAGAGAGATGGGTGAGTGGTAGAGGGAGGAGACAGCAAGTATAGAACACCCAGCTTTGGGCTGGGAAGAAGGTCTCCAGCTGGAGGAGAAGGAGTGTGTCAGGTAGAGAGTTAATACTCCCAACAAGAGAAGAGTGACCAAGTTCACAGATGGTGGGTAAGAAGTAGGGAGAGATGGAGCCTGCCGCTGTGGAGAGAGCAGACAGGGCTCAGACCTGGAGAAGATGGATGTGCTCCTCCTTAGACTGAATCAGCCCACCAACAGCTGGGCAGGGAGAGAGAACACGGATTCTGAGTAAGTAAGTCTGAGATTCTGCTTTTCTAACAAGATCCCAGGTGTTTCATAAAGTCTGAGATGGGCAGATCTTGAGCTGAGTCCTAAATCCAGTGGACTCAGCATCATCCAGGAGCTTGTTAGAAATGCAGACCTGAAAGCCAGGGGGGCTCAGTCGGTTAAGCTTCCAGCTCTTGATTTCAGCTCAGGTCATGATTTCACAGGCTTGTGAGATGGAGCCTTGAGTTGGGCTCCATGATAATAGCGTGGAGACTGCTTGGGATTCTCTCCCTCTCTCTCTACCCTTCTCCTCCTCCCCACAAGTATCAGCGTGCACCCGTGCACATGCCCCCCCAAAATAAAAAATAAACTTAAAAAAAAAAAAAGAAATTAAAAAATTCAGACCTACTGAATCAGTCTGCAGCTCAACAAGGCCCTCAAGAGATTCCTAGGCACATTCAAGTCAGAGAAGCTCTGCTCCAGGAAATATGACAAAACAAGAGGGATGATGGGAAATAGTTGATGGGAGAATTCAAAGAGCAAGACCACAAAGGATGTGTAAAAGATTTGACGGGGCTGCTTCCAAAAGCCCGGAAGAGGTCACAGATGATCTCCAGTGTTACCCACGTACTTTGGATATGGATATACTGCATGAAGTTCCCCCTCTGGCTTGATATATTTGGGCAAAAGTCTTTCTATTATGTAGTATGCAATGCTTTTAATCAAGTGTGTTCATGTGAAAGAAAAGGAGAGGAAGGGAGGGAGGGAGAGAGAGAGGGAGGGAAGGAGGAAGGAAGGAAGGAAGGAAGGAAGGAAGGAAGGAAGGAAGGAAGGAAGGGAGGGAGGGAGGGAGGAAGGAAGGGAGGAAAGAAGGGAGGAAGGAAGGAAGAAACTCGAGTGCCTAGGTAGCTCAGTGGGTTAAATGTTTGACTCTTGATTTCAGCTCAGGTCATGATCTCACGGTTCATGAGTTTGAGCCCCATGTTGGGCTCTGCACTGACAGCCTACTTGGGATTCTCTCTCTCTCTCTCTCTCTGCCCCTCCTTCACTAGTGCTTTCTCTCTCTCTCTTCTCTCTCAATAAATAAACTTAAAGAAAAAGAATGTTGCTTTTTCTCCTTTGTTTTAGCTGATCCATTAATTCACAAAACATTTTCTCAATGTCTGTGATGGAGTCTATGTTATTCAGGGATCTCAAAAGAAAAAATCCAATAGAATGTGTGTGCATGTGTATAGAGAAAGATTTATTTTAAGGAATTAGCTCCCAGAGTTGTGCAGCCTAACAAGTTCAAAATCTGCAAAGGAATCTGGCAAGTTGGAGGCCCAGGGCAGAGCCAAAGTTGGCATTCAAGTTTGAAGGCCACCTGTGTAGACCCCTCTCTTGCTCAAGGGAGGTCAGTCTTTTGTTCCATTCATGCCTTCAACTGATGGGAGAGGCCCACTGACATTGTAGAGGGTATTCTGTTCTACTTAAAGTCCACCGATTTAAATGTTAGTCTCATCAAAACTACTTTCATAGAAATATCCAGAATAATGTTGAGACCAAATATCTGGATGCCATGGCCCACCCAAACTGACACATAAAATTAGCCCTCAAGGACCTCAATCTTTCTGAAGTCTACCTAATTAATATCTGTCACTCAGAGGGGTTCTTGTTAAGCAGTCAAGAATGATTGTTATCATTTTATTGAAAGATCCAGAAAAGAATATTCTTGATGTTATGAGGGCAGTCCAACCTGATGCAGCAGATTCTAAGTTCTGCTTCTAATGTGCCACTCAGCAAACTTACTGACATTTTATTCACATAGAGCCATAGCAGAGAGTTTAGACTGTTGATTCCATCAAAATCTTGTCAATCCAATATGGATGTCACCTCCCTCCTGAGCCAGCTATGCCCTCCCTGATTCTTGTGTTTTCCTCTTCTCTGAACTCTTAAGAGGTTAAGTGGGCCAGGCTAGCCATTGGGTAATTACTAATGCTTCACACTGTCATTTCTTTCAAGTGTATTCAAGTAGTGAATATCAAGTGTGAACACTCCTTTTAAATCTGTTATACCAGCATTTACCCATCCAAATGAATGTTCTCTTCTTCAAAGTAATAATTTATTCTAATGACACTGCCATTGCTTAAAGCATTTTTGAAATTCTCTAGAAACTCCCTTCAGAACTAGATGCAATATTCTTTTGAATTTCTTAAATAGGGGCATGACTTGGCTCTTTGAAGATAGATTGGGGACTTGAAACAGTAAAAAGACATTCACATTTGAGCTGATAATTAAGGTAGGCAATTAAGTTAGGCAATGTTATCCCTTAGCCAAAAATCAAACTATAACCATGAGGTAATAAGAAAAAAAACCTCCCTCCTTCTGCAGATAATGTCTGGATTTGCATTCTTGTTGGAATAAATTAATAGCCTCCAAGGTGACTCTTGTACTGAGAGCTTCAATAAATCAATCACTTGGATAAATCAATCCTCATATTTATTTTAAACCTAGATTTTACAGTTTTATGTCATTAATTTTACCTCGGAAACTGGATCCTAAGTGTTTTAGACATTCCTTTTTTTGAACTTCTCTCATAGCACTCATTTTATTGTTCTTAGCTTGCATACCTGTCTTATCTTTAAAATTTTTTGTTTTTTAATTTTATTTTTGAGAGAGTGTTGAGTGGGGGAGGGGCAGAGAGAGGGAGACACAGAATCCAAAGCAGTCTCCAGGTTCTAAGCTGTCTGCCAGAGCCCGACATGGGGCTCAAACTCACTGACCACTAGATCATCTCCCGAGCTGAAGTTGGATGCTTAACCGACTGAGCCACCCAGGCACCCCACACATCTGTCTCCTTTATAAGACTGGATGCTCCTTGAAAGCAGGGGCTGTCCTTTATATCCCATCACCCACCTCAGTGCACTGCACGGAGCAGGCACTCAATTATATGTGTCGCACTCATGGATTGAATGAATGGGTGAGCTGAATGAATGGATGAACTACATGAATGGATGAATTGCTTAGATCATTGTTGTCCTATAGATTAGGATTGATTTTAAACTTAAAATATCTGAATTAGGCTGCATTTATACCTGGATTGAAGCCTCTTTTGCCCAGAAAGATCTGTTCCAATACACTTTTCGCCAATTTAAAGATTGCCCAACATTACTTCATTGTAACCCTTGCTAATAAATACATTAGCACAGTGCACATTCCTTTAGAAGCAGTTCATAAAACTTTGCCAAGTGAATACTGAATGAGTGAATGTATCCAATAAAAACTGCTTTTAATTCAATGAAATCACAGTCTTTAATTATAAAAGAAACTTTCCAGATTTTTAGTCCATTCTTGGAGTGATTATTGATGGTTCTTCTCAATTCAGCTACTTAAAAAAAATCTTTGTCAATTTTTGTGAATAGAATTTCTATTTCTTTTGGGAAACATTTACTATTTGATATCTGCCTAAAGGTTTGTTTGCACTGACACTTATTTTACTGTGAACACTCTTCATCTTGTACTGAGTTAAATAACAAATGTTGAGCCTCTTCCGTTATTAAGGAAGAATTATTTTTCTTTTCTGGATGATCACTTATCAAATTCTGTTTCTTTTCTCCAAATACATCATAGATCTGTTCCTCAAAGAGCTCTTCTTGAGAAAGTAGCTGTGAAAACCACAATTCTGATCATAATTTGCTAAGTTACAATGCAAATCTACCACTTGCAAAGCAGGATGGAAAGATCACACATACACACTTGATCACAAATTTAATCGATCCCATGTTGAATGCTAAGAAAAGTTTTAACTGCACAGAGTACCCAACATATCAAATATAAATGAAGGGCGATCAATGGTGTTATCAAAACGTATAGTACAGGAAGTTGTTTAAAAAGAATAGAAAAAAATTATACTAAGGGTCCATAAATCTTCCTTATTATAAGTATATGTAGCAATTCATTTAGGCAGGTTTTATATGTAAATAGGATTTTTTTCTCTTTTTGAAGAACTCCATTGTAGCTATGAGATGAATAATGTACTGATGTAACAATGTATTATGGTAATGTTACAGCTTCCTTCTTTTTTGCTTTTAGTGTGAAGATTGCTAAAGGCTTATTTAAAATACCCAATTGACATAATGTGCTTTCAGTAGAGGACACTGCCTAGTATGTTATCTTTCCCCCATCACTACTGGGTATCACATTACCTGGCCTCTGTCTACACAGGCCACTTTGATGAGCTCAAATTTCAGGCAGTGGGTGGCAGGTTACTGTCCCCTCAACCTGGCCCGGCCTCCAGTGACCCTTCTCCTAAGGATGGCAAACATCCTTGTCTTCCAGTGAAAGGTGTCCTAGGCTTTTCGTCCAGCCACATCTGCAAGAAAATGGCACGGCTCACCACCCACTTGCTGGGTTTGGGTTCAGACGAGGAGGAGGTCCCGAGCAGAGGACAGCTGATTTACACAGTATAGACAGTCAACACCCAAGTCAGACTGGCCCCTCAAAGGCTGCCAGGGGAGCCCCCAAGGAGACTGGGGTTCTAGGCAAAGCACTCAGGGTGGCAGGATTCTGCTGCCCCCGCTGCCTCTCTAGAGAAGTGTTCAAAGGAGAGGACACTACCCAGGCCACCGGGCCAAGGCCCTCCCTTCCTGGAGTCAGCTGCCGTGGGCCTGCCTGGGCACCCCCAGAGGAGTGGAAGACAGGAACTGTCCATGGGAGCACTGGGATCGGGATCGACAAGCAGGTGGGAGTGCCTGTCTCCCCAACACCGCTTGCCCCCCCAGCCTTTTGTCTTGGTGACAGCCTGGCAGGTAGCAGTGACCGCAAAGTGTTCAGTCCAATCAGACAAATTGGTTGGGGGTCTCTTCAGATTCCAGAACACTTGGAAATTGCAATTCTGCCAAAAGAGCCTCCGTCAGAGATGATCTGGGTGACAGACTGCAGTTGAAAACGTCGTCTATCGAACCTGAGAAAAGTAACAAGGCATATGATCATCATCACTGTGTTTGTTATCATTAACAAACACAAAAACCCAACAGTTCCTTAAAACTCATACAACATACAATGTAACCATTTCAATAAGTAGCAGAGAACTTGGACTTCCTCAGAAAAACTCATAACCCTAAGCGGCTTTTCATGGCTGTTTTTCTCCCAGTAGGATGTGGACCATACACTTTTCCATGGGCTGGAGTAGATGTGTATGGAATTTTCTCACTTTTGACAAAAGGCCCAAGACAAAGGTCAGTTTTCACAAAGGGGAGAAGGGGACGGACAGACGGAGCCTAAGCTGATTCACCAGGGCAGGGCCAGTAGAGGCCAGGCCTGGCCTGCTTGCTGGGGGAGGGGGGCGCTGACACATCTCCCTTTTGCCACCTGCAGTGCATAATGATGGCTCAGGTGTCAGGCCCTGCTCAAAGAGTCCCTCCCTACTGCTCTGGCCTGGAAGTGGCCCAAGGCCTGACTCCTAGTCAACTTGCAAGGACACACTGTCCAACTTCACACACCCCTTGGTGTCCCCTGGATGGCAATGGACATCCCAGGCAGCCTCACACAGAGGGCAAGGGATGTGAAACAGCAAGGCCAGTGGAGGGGCTGGAGGGATGTCACAGGAGGGATCAGGCAGCTGAGCCTACAGCCACCGGCCAAGTTAATCCTTCCCCAAAAGAATCAGTGTATAATCCCCCCCCGCACTCCCCCAAGACTGCAGTGGAGCAAAGCACAAAGTGATTTTGTAAGGAACACCCAGAGAAAGCTAAAGCAATGTGGAGGAGGGAGGGAGTTAGGGGGAGAAAGAGAGGGAAAGAGAGGTGGGGAAGGAGAAAGGGAGGAGGAAGAGGGAGAGAGAGACAGCAGGGCAGGAGGAAGCAAGAAAAGAGCAAGGAGGAGGAGAGTGAGAGCATGCGAGCGTGCGTGCGCGCGCGCACACATACACACACACACACATACACACACACACACAGGAGGGGAGGTGCTATCTCCAGGATAAGAAATACTTAGGAGTAAGCATTTTTGCTATAAACATTGGAAGAAAGCAAGCTTCATTAAATATAATTAGTGAAGACTCTTGTTTTTTACACCTGAATATTTTTTTAAACTGCAGGTTGGTAGAGATTGGTGATTTTTGTTTGTTTGCGTTTGTGTCCTTTCTTGCAATTAGCAGCAGGAGTCCTGGTTTGGTTCAAGGAAGTTGCTTGCCGGGGGCCAGACTCGTGGGACAGGAGAATGGGCTCAGCAGAAGACAAAGCCAGACAACACCTGACTGATGTCATCTGCCTTGGTCACAGCCACACTGAAGTCTCACCAACTTCTGAGCCAGAAGCACTGGATATTAGGATCTAGAGTAAAGTGTATTAGGTGAAGCCTTCTCCAGAGTTATTCTTTTGTGGTCTTACAAACCCTTTCAAGATTTTTTAAAGATACATATGGCAGCCTTATACAATCTTCCCGCAGGGGCCCCTGGTTGTTAACATTCTGTGGCCTTGAATATGCACATCAGGAAAGCATCATTCCTTCATGACATTCAAATTATTGTTAATGTTTAAATGACTAGTGATACATTTTTACATGAACAATGTATTTAAACATTATATTCTACATAATTATATTCTACTATAACTGCTATGTCAGAAAACTTTTAGGAGCCTAAGAAGAAAAGTCACTACATTTCTCACTTTTTATGTTCTGAATTCCATGATATTAGTTTTCCCTTTTATCAAGAGGCCTTTCTTCTTCTTTCTTTCTTTTTTAGTGTTTATTTTTTGAGAGAGACAGAGATAGAGACAGAGACAGAGCGTGAGCAGGAAAAGGACAGAGAAAGATGGAGACAGAATTCAAAGCAGGCTCCAGATTCTGAGCTATCAGCACAGAGTCTGATGTGGGGCTCACACCTATGAACCAGAAGATCATGACCTGGGCCAAAGCTCAATGATTAACCAAGTGAGCCACCCAGGCACCCCGAGGCCTTTCTTTTTCAATGAATTGTCCACTCCCATGATATTTTCCTAACCTTTTATTCAACTACCTTCCTCAGGTATTTGAGAATTTTTAACATACCTCTGGAAGTTACACTGAATTTTCGGTCAGAGAAACTGCTCCTTCGGATGAAAGATTCACTCATTTTTTCCAGAAATAATTTAATTGTCTCCTTCTTTTCTGGACTTGTACTTGACAAATTCAGAACTTTTCCTTCCACCTTTACAGTAGAATTGCTGAGCCCAAACCAATAGAAGAAATCAAATAATGCATCAGCTTTGAATTCGTATGCAAAGCTCAAATTTTCTCCATTAACCACCTCATTTCCTGGAGGGAAAAAATGTTTTACTGCTTCTTGAAAATCAAACTGAAAGAGAGAGAAGCATTTAATTAATGTCATGGCTATAATGTTATATTACAGAATTCTATATTATTATAGAATTATATTATTGAACTAACAACTGCCCAAATATCCAAAAAATCACATATCTTCTTACTTTTTCATTCTGACATGTTTTTAAACAGTGACTTTTGTTTTTTAAAAACAGAATCTTTGTATTTACATCCTACCCATCTGAAGCTCTTGAACTGCTTGGTCAAATTGACATTTATTTTTACCCCATTTCTAATCAGTTGCTAGAAACCAAGTTCATTTTATTCATAGTGATAATGAAACAAAAGAAAATGTATGTGTCTGGTTATAATTAAGCTCTAGGGACTCAGCCTTGCGTGAAATGCACAGAGCCCTTTCTATGTGGTTAGCAGCCCTGGAATCAGATGGACGAAAGCTTACCTGAAGCCGGTAGCTTTCTCCAATCACTGAGGAAATGACCATGTCCATCCCTTGCTCTATCTGTCTTCTTATCTTGGGGTGCCTTGTGTTCACAAAAAACGCGTATGTTCTTTCTAGGAATTAGGAGGCAGAATTTAAATAGAAGTGTGCATGTGCGACATAAACATACTTCTTAGCATTTGATGAAGCAGTTACTGCCATCCTATTTGGAGATTTTGTTCATTTATAGCCTCCTTTGTGGCTTCCTCAGACCCTCACTGCAAGGCCTACCCAGATTTCTAGAAATGTTATTCCTGAGAACCCTGTAGCTGAAGGAAGCTTTGGGCAACTGTAGAAGCCTATTAGAATATCAGCTCCCCCAAGTGCACGTTGTCACGCTTTCCTCAAACAAAACAAAACAAAACAGGGGCGCCTGGTTGGCTCAGTCAGTTAAGTGTCCGACTTTGGCTCAGGTCATGATCTCATGGTTTGTGGGTTTGAGCCCCGCATCGGGCTCTGTGCTGACAGCTAGCTTAGAGCCTGAGCCTGTTTCGGATTCTGTATCTCCCTCTCTCTCTGACACTCCCTTGTTCATGCTGTCTCTCTCTCTCTCAGAAATAAAACGTTTTAAAAAAACAACAACAACAAAGAACAAAAAACAAAAAAAGTCCCATTCCCTAATTATCACCAATGAAAACTGGGTCCTACCATGTGCATCCAGCATGGGGAGCTCAAGTCCAAACTCAAGACAGCTGGTTTGCATGTCACAACCTTGCTGGATATTTAAAGAGCGACTTGACTCTCACCAACATTTCCTCATTTGCAAGGCAGAGAATCAACCAAGTCCAGGGAAGGAAGCTGCCCTATGCCTTCCCACCCTACCCCCACACCCCTGTCAACCATCTCTCCCCTGTCCCCATCCTTCCCCAAAGACCTGGCATGCCTTCTGCTTGAGAGCTACTCCAAGGTTTTAAGGATCAAGGCAATTTGAGACTAAGTGTCCTCCACGACCCACCCCCAACTTTTCTCCACTGGGAAGAAAAGTCCCTCCCACTGTTTAAATAATAGCATGTCTCTGCCCTCCAGCAGACAGTTGTTTTGTAGGTGGTCATGGTGGTGGTTTGGTTTGGGGTTTTTTCTTTCTTTTGTTTTTAATTCCTTATGTCCAATTCTATACAATCTAAGCAAAGAGAAAGTTGTTCAGTAGGAAATTTGAAATACTTTAAACCAACAGTCTCTTAACTTTTCCAGTCCCCAGAATCAAGCTCCACAGCCTTAAATGTCAAGCTTTTTTTTCTAGACAGATGCATAACATAGATTGCCACTCTCTGTTAAAGGCCATGGACTAGTCACTATGTGATTTTGAGACCTGAACATTTTGCATTTGCTTTGGGACTCAAACCTATGGTCCATCAATAATGAGTCTTACATCCCTCAGGAATATAATTTGAGCTAACTTTTGCACTAACTTTATTCATTTTATTTATTTTTTTTTTACCCTTGTTTCATTTCTTCCAAATTGCCATTTTTGGAGGGCACTTTAAATCTAAATTACCTTATATCCTCTTTGAGATAGGAGATAAAAAAGCAAGCTATTTGAATTAACTTTCACACAAACCAAACCAACATCTTTAGGTTCATCAGATACTAAGGGCTACCACACTCCATGGTTGTGCTGGCTGGGCAAGTCGTACATCGCACAACTCTAGAGAGTACCGTTCACATTCATAGACATTGTCTATTTGTTTAGTTATTATGACAAACTTCTGGAAAGGATTAGTAAATTGTGTTGGGTTACAGGTGGCTTTTTCTAATTTTCCCAAAAGTGCAGTTTGGCACCAAGGTTAGACGTGTTACCTTACTTATAACTTTTATTATTTAAACTTGACCATCTTAAGCTTCTGTATCATAGAAGCTCCTTTTTTTTTTTCCATGGCTTTCCTCACAATTCCACAACACTGGGTTTCTGTACCTCCTTCCAGGATAGTTGTCACACAACTGTGTACCTTTTATAGGCTACCCGCAAATCCACAAATCTCCTGCACCACCTCCTGCACTTTCATTAAAATGCAAAACTGGAGAGGTCTCTTATTCTTTCTTAAGACTTCTCCCGAGAAAGATCGATGCAGGAGGTGTACTTGATACATCTGTGAATTACATTCCCAGAGAACTCTCCAGCTTTCTGGTCATCATCAAGCCAAATAACATCAGGGGCTCAGATGCTCTAACAAGCCCACTTGCTACCTCCTGTTCTGTTCCCAGCCCTTCCTGCCAAGAGAGCATTGTGACTGAATTACCGAGTGAGAGGAGAATCTAAATGATTCTGAATGAAATGAACAGAGAATCAGCTCCACGAATCTGAATGAGAACGATTGTTTGAGAAAGTCTATTTTGAATTTGTAGATCATTTCTTATTACCTTGGGCTCATTTTAGGAATGTTATTGGGACGCAGAATTAAGAAATTCTGCCTCTAAAAAAAAAAAAAAAAAAAGAAATTCTGCCTCTATCACAGAGCATTATGCCCATGACTTTCCCCACATAACACTGTGCAGGAAGCAGGGAAGATGGAGATATTCTCCTACCGGAACTGGAGGTAATAGAGGTCTTATCAGTAAATCTGATTTCTTGGAAGAAACAATGAAGAGATATCTCTCCAGTTGAAATCTGAAGGCCACAGCATGAAACAAAAAAGCCTCTGCAACAGTTATTTCTTTATCTTAGTTTTCTTGTCTATTAAATGGCTGTACGCACATCATAAGTAGGATGACTATGCAACGTAGTCCCCCTGGGTTAGCGCTAGTTTATACCTTAGTCCCAGCATAATTATTAACAGTACCTACTTTCATGCTCAAAAATGTTCCCATTTGGATGAAAGGGGTATGGGGCTGTTGCGTCAATCAATGACATGAGTGTGTATGCCTCACACATGTGAGTGTCTGGAATGTGGCACACAGTATTATATATCATCATCAGCATTCCAGTCATTTTTGCAATCCCTGTAGACTCCGAGCCCGATAGCACTTCCTACCTAGACAGGAAGTACAAGACAAAAACCCAGAGACAGATGGCTTCTGCCCTAGGATCATTTAGAGGTTCTGCAGGCTTGTGCTGTGCTTCAGATGCACCAGGATCCTCACCTCCAGTCTTGCAACAAGCTGACATCTACCCTGCCTACTCCATGAACAACTTCTACCTCATTGGCATGCCATGGTCCACAGCCCCAGGAGGCAGCATCAAACCCCAAATATTTATAGACTTACCTTTTGAGGTGTCTTTTTTGGTCTGTACATTAACAAAGAACAGCATTGGTCTGCTCAGTATAGTTTCCCTGTAGTCTTTATAATCGCAGTAGTTGGTCAGTTGCACATACCTAGGAAAAAAAGAGAGATAATTGCCAATGTAATATACCCTTGCATCCAGGGCAGGAAGGGGATGTTCTGGACGGGCGCCTGCCACATCCACAGAGCTTGTGAGACCAATGGCATAACATGTGTCCTCTGGAGGCAGTCAGCTTTTGTACGATATAAATAAATCCCCTCCCTAGTCAGCTAAGACATCAGGACATGGCCTGAAGGTGGCCATGGTCTTTGGGGTGGCCTGACACCAATCCTGGGCTCTCAGGGGCAGCCTTTGCTCCGTGATGGCCAATACCATCTATCTTTTGGGCTATAAGAGTTAGTTTGAAGCTGCAAGCACTTTGTCTCTCTCGATGCTGAATGAATTACGCTGAACTAGTGGGATTAGCTGGGTTCTCTACAGTCACCCTACCAAATTGGTGGGTCTGAAATTTTCCTTTTCTTCTCTTCCCCTCTTGCCTTTTCTAATTCCTAGAGCCCAGCCCCTCTATAGATGACACAATCAACCAAGAGTCATATGAACTAATTCATATCTCCCTGATCCTGAGCTTTGTGCAATGAAAAAAAAAGACTACTAATGTTAGAATTTTGCCCATGACCCTATTCAAATTAGCCTCCTTGGTTTTCATGCAGTACTCCAGCCTGGGAAGTTCTTTTTCTCGTTTTGACTGTCTTCCAGCATGTCAGCTTTCTCTCCCTATTCTACAAATTTTCCAGGTAGTTTCTAGGTTTCTACCTGCATCATTTATCAAAAGACAGATCAAGGTGCAAATGGCTTTCCTCAAGAAGACGGCTATTGTTCCATCCACACCTAAGCTCAGATGTCATATGGACTCAGGCAGACTGAATAGCATCCAACAAGCTGGAGGATGTGTCCACCACAGTCCCTCTTCAACACCGAACTGGGATCCCATTGATGAGCCCAGCAGTGTGCATCTGCAAGGAATGAATGGCCGGCCTGGTTGATGGCACAGGCTGCTTTTGCTGTGCTGTGATGTGTTTACTTCCTACATCTAGTCACAGACAGAGACAGCTCGAGTTCTTTCTGGCTTGTTGTCCTTCCAGTGCCTGACATGGAAATCACAGCCTTGGAGAAAGCTCCATTGCAGAGAGCTGTGACCACACAGCCCTCTTAGCCTCCTGCCCCACCCCACTTCCCATAACCTGCTTAGGGGGGCCAGCACAAGAGATCCGGACCTGGGAATGGCTTGGGAGCACGTGGGAGAATATCTACCTCCAAGGCAGAAAAACACAGCTTCAGCTTGTCTGTCTCCCAGCTTGGTTTCTTAGAAATCTGTATCATTATCTCTTTTCTGGGGATTGTCAGACCTGATTTTGATAGCTTTTAAGACCTGACCCCTGATAGAGTCTCTAAAATGCTTCCTGCCTTGTATTTCATCAGGCTTTTAATGTAGTCTCTGCTTCCCACTCCAGGGACACTGGGGGTGATCAGGGGGCTTGTCCGGGAGTGGGGAGGGGGAAACAGGGCTGGTGTATTCCAGGGAAGGGAAGCAGGTACAGGTGTTGACATTCTGGGGTGGGGTGAGGAGGGCAGGAGTTGGGGGGGACCAGTAGGAATAACAAGGGAACAGACTGTAGAAGAAAATGCAGACCAGGGTTCTTCTGTCACCATTCTCCTGCCCTTATCCTCACCTGGGCAGCACAGTGCCCAGTGAGAATGGAGGGGGAGCATCTGACAGGGAGTGGCCCTTGTGTTCCATATCAGCAGGGAGAGAATGTTCCTATTCCTTTTTGTTCCAATTGGCCAACTGACAAAAGGAAGCAAAAAGAGGAGGGAGAAAGGGAACGACCATTTGCTGAGTTCATTTGCTCTCATTCATTCATTCAACAGCATTCACTGAGCACCTATCTGGTGCTGGGCACCAGGTAGGCATCACACATGCTTGATCACATCTGAGGGGCTCAGGGCCTGTGAGGTAGGGCTGGGATAGAGGATGGCAGCATGGGAGTCCCCTGTACCCTCCTGACACCTCTGCTGTTATCTTTTAACTATCCAGGACATGGGATGACTAGACAAGAGTGGCCTGGGAGAGGCCGCATAAGATCTGTGGTTGTGGGGGCGTGGGGAGGGCACAGAGGAAGAAGAAAGGAAGAAAACTTTTGTCTGTTGTTATGGAAAGAAAAGGACGAATCCAACTGGAGAAAACATCAGCAAGGCAGACTCGTGTTGCTGGGGTAGTCTGATGCCGCCTGCGACCCATCCGGGGCAGATTTTCATATTCTTCTGCCTTGTTTGCCATGGAGCTAATTTACAGTCACTTAAGCATTTCATATCTTTCTCAAGGTGACTCCTCTGCTCTCTCAATATCCATGGTCTGAGTGTCATTCTCTAGGGCGCGCTCATGGCATTTGTGTACGGTGCGTTTAGAAAAACTGCCATCCCAATTACTATTCTGATGTCACACATAACAGTGCAGTACTTGCCTCTCTGCCTACGAGACCCATTGAGGTCCAATTGGAGGGATCATCAATTTTATTCTGATGACTCCACAGCTTATGGGAAAAAGATGAAAGGCCCAACTTAGAAATGATCACTGGTTGGGACAATCATCGGTTTTCCCCAGAATTCTCTGGAATGTTTTTTGGAATGCTAGGGGGCTCAAAGAGCTGTTGTTTCTCATGATCAGAGAAGGGGGAATGGGCTGGGAGTGGCAAGGGCTTCCAGATACTCACACACTCGCTGAGTTTAATGCATAACCTATACACGCGTCATCCTTTCTGGAGTCTGAATTTAATAAGATGCTCTGAATAATAAAACTATGCTCAACATAATTTAACTTTCCTTTGATGATTTAGAGGCACTTTTAGGATCTTAACGGGGCTGAAACATCACCACGGAGCATGTCAGTTATCACTATGCCACACATGTGTGAAAATGCGATTTATATGAGAGCTCTGTAACAGAATTTACAGACAGGCGATTGTAGCAAGATCCCTACTTAATGAACTCTATTTAAACCAGGACACAAATAAGAAATACCTTCTTATTTCATCATTCCCAGCCTTCCAGCCAGTTAAATACCTTGAAATTCCAGAGAAATTAATAAATGTGAGTACTCCTTTGGAATTCACTGTTACAAAATTTAGATATGTAAGCCACTAAAATACGAAGAGATTGTGGACCTGGCTGTGAAGTCTCACAGGTATCTGAGTATCTAGCATTCAATCACTGGCTTTATTTTAAGATGAGCCTTACCAGACTACATTAGGGAATAGTGATTTCATCTTTAATTGTACATATTTCTGAATTACTAATGCAAATGCTGCTTCTTATGTACTGGATGCTTACTGTATTTGCTGAAATTATTAAGGATGAAAAGCAAATAGTTTAAGATAGCTCCCTCTAAACTCTCATTTCTTCATTGCTTTTATCCTGGCCCCAAAATGCTTCTAGGCTGAAACTTTCTATACCTGGCTTTAATCCAAAGATTGAAAGGCAGACCAATGTGACTATCTTTCGCATGCATAGTGATTTTATTTTTTTTCCTTTTTTATTTATTTTTTTTTGTATTTCTATTTTATTTTTTTTTTTTACAAATAGTTTATTGTCAAATTGGTTTCCATATAACACCCAGTGCTCATCCCCACAGGTGCCCTCCTCCATGCCCATCTCCCCCATCCCCCCCACATCCATCAGTCCTCAGTTTGTTTCTCAGTATTCAAGAGTCTCTCATGGTTTGCCTCTCTCCCTTTCCTCCACCATTTTCCCCCTTCTTCTCCCCCATGGTCCTCAGTTAAGTTCCTCCTAATCCTCCTATATGTGCAAACATATGATATTTGTCCTTCTCTGCCTGACTTATTTTGCTAAGCATAACACCCTCAAGGTCCATCCGTGTTGCTACACGTGGCCAGATTTCATTGTTTCTCATTGCCATGTAGTATTCCATGGTATAGATAAACCACATCTTCTTGATCCATTCGTCCGTTGATGGACACTTAGGCTCTTTCCATGTTTTAGCTATTGTTGAGAGTGCATAGTGATTTTAAATGAGATCTAAGTCATGCCCTAATTGACTGGCTGTGTGAACTCGGCTACAGAGCCACATCCCACTGTGACCTTGAGTGAGTTACTTAACCTATTGGAACCTGTGCCCTCATTGATAAAACGGATGTAACAGTATTTCTTTCTGTGTGAGGATTCAATGCAGTGCCAGTAATACAGATATATGTACTTGGCCCATAATAGATGCTCAACAAGCACTGTCAGTATCTTTAATCTGGGCAACTCTGCTGACCAAAGGGTGCAGTTCTATAAACTTGTGCCACACAACCAGGGCTGTGTTCATTTAAGTGACCAAGAAAAAGGACAACATTGTGTCTGAAAAATAAGTAAGAGTTTCTCCTTCCTTGCCCCAATTTCTTTCCTTTATTTTTCAGTGTGGAAGGCTAAAGCTAAAGCTTAATGAAGGCAATGCCTGAAAGATGAGACCAAGAAAGAACACTGTATTTTTGCCTCTAGCGGATCAGGAGTGGCAGAAAGCTCATTCCCCTCTGAGATGCCTACCTTTCTCTGGAGATTGCTTCAGGATTTACATCACTTCTAGATCAGTCTGAAACGCTGCCCCAAATTTCCCTTGGCTCTAGCAATTTAGTGCTCAAAGGTGCATAAGAACTCAAACCTAAAGCTTCCATCTGAGGAGGGGGGCTGTGCATGTGGGTCTCTGCGTGTGTGCATTTAAAAAAAATATGGAGAGTGGAGCACAGAAAACGAGGAATGCATATTGAGACGGGCCTTGTGGACAAGTCCCAGAAATTGCTTATCGCTTTCATAATCCTTTGCTATGACACTAAGCTACAGCATTCTGCCCTTGGGAGCAAGCAGGATGGCCTTGCTTTGTTTCCAGTGTTAACGTGACAGCTTTATGTGAAGCCTCAGCCTAAGCTGTCAGACAGATCGTTTTCTTTCACTTCCTCCCCTCCTTCTGCCCCAACTCTAGGGAAATGAAGCAATAGTTTCAGATTTATCACTCTCCTGTCTGCTGATTCACATACA